TGCAGTGCCTTGATGTCAGCACCTCCCTTCACAGTGTGGGGCTGAGACAGTGTGTCCAGGTTTGAAGCGGTTAAGGGGGGGTGTTATGTGGTTGAGAGGGGGTGTCGCGCATCCAGCGAGACCAGGCAGCAAGGGTGGTCACCATGGCCCAGACCTGGACCGTTGCAGTGCCTTGCTGTCAGCACCACCCTTCCCACCCGCTGCTGCTGCTGCTGCTGCTGCTGCTGCACCCGGCAACGGAGTGTGAGGGTGAGATGTTGTGTGCAGGTGTGAAGCGGTTGAGAGGGGGTTTGCCGGGAGATTGGACGGTCCGGCTGGTGGTGGTAGGAGACTGAGTGGCGTGCCTGCTGCCGCCGCCGCTGGTGCTGCTGCTGCCGTTGCTGGCACTGCTGTTTGTGCTGCTGCAGATAGAGAAGTAGGCATGGCTGCTGGCTGCAGCGTTTGGGGAAATTGAGGGGAGGAAGACAGGTCCGAAGGGGATAGAGGCGAGAAAACTAAAAAAATAGAGACAAGAAAAGAAGTAATATCGATGGTGGACGGGGATACGAATCAAATCAAATCGAACGTGATGATGGGAATGAGAACTTGCCAGAAGCTGCGCTGCTGAGTGACAGCGATAGTAATGTCAACGTGATCGCACTCGCTCCAGCTGAGAAGGGGTGCGCACGCCGTGCTTCGTTCACTCAATGCGCAACGTGAACTCACCATGCTGGGGTGCGCGTGCGTGTGGGACTGCAGCAGCAGCAGCTGGGCAATCACTGCATGCTTCTTGACTCACCATTTGCGTGTGTGACTGTGACTGCAGCTGCAGCAGCTGGGAGCGCAGCTGTTCGTTTTCTTCCTTCAACTGTGCCACCTCCGCCTCTAACTCTACTGTGTACGCCTGGAGGGAGGGTGGGGGGAGGGCATGGGAAGAGGATCATGTGGCTCCGCTCCTGGGCACCCTTCAGGCTCCACTGTGTACGCCTGAAAGGGGGGGGGGGGAGAGGAGAGGGGAAGGGCTGGGCGCGCAGCTGCTCGTTCTTTTCCTTCAGCTGCGCCTCTTCTGCCTCCAGCTCTACTGTATACGCCTGGAGGGTTGGAAAGGGGGGGCATGGGAGTAGGATCATGCGGTTAGGCTTCAGGGCACCTTCGCATTCAGGCTCCACTGCGTATGCCTGAGGCGGGGTTAAGGAGAGGGGAAGGGCTGGGCGCGCAGCTGCGCCACCTCCGCCTCCGGCTCTACAGTGTATGCCTGGGGGGGAAAGGGCAGGGGGGTGTGTGGCATGGGAAGGGCAGCACGTGGTTAGACTTGAACGTGTGTATGCCTGGGTTGGGGAGAGAGGGGAGCACCAGAGGGGTGGGGCGGAGCACAGGAAGCGGTGCAGCATGGTGCAGCTTGGTGCAGCATGGTGTGAGGAGAGAGAGCAAGAGCCATGTGCACGCAAACAGCCACACGGTGACCCTGTGCCGTCCACCCTGTGCCGCGCAGCATTCTCCCTCCTCTCAAAGTACCACGGGTCTTGACTCAGTGTGGCACAGCAGCAAAACAAGAAGATCTGGAAAACGCTTCTTCACCTCACCTCAATCCATCCCACCTCACCCCACCTCACCGCACCCCACCTGTTTCCTCGCCCGGGACCGAGCGGCCGACTCTCTATTCTTGATCATCCGCTTCTGCCTCCTCTCAACGCTTCATGAGTTTTCACTCACAGCGGAGGAGCAGCAGGCAATCACATAATGTTTTCTCACCGCACCGCACCTCACCCAACCGCACCTGTTTCCTCGCCCGGGACCGAGCGGCCGACTCCCTATTCTTGATCATCCGCTTCTGCCTCCTCTCCACTGGCGCCCCTCCCCCTTCCCCACTGCGCTTCCTCCCCCTCCGCCCCGCACTCCCCCCCACGCCCCCGCTCAAAGTGTCTCCATCCCCACTCCCCCCACCTGTATCCGACTGCCCCCCTCCCCCTCCGCCGTCACTGCCCCCCCACCTCTCTCCCCCGCCCCCCACCCCATCAGCCGACACCATGCTCGCCCCAGCAAGCCCCCCCAACCCCCCTGCGCCCATGCCTGCGCCCATCCCTGCGCTCATCCCTGCGCCCATGCCTGCGCCCATGCCTCCGCCTATCCCTGCGCCCATGCCTGCGCCCACACCATACGTAGTGGGCGCCAACCCCCCACCCATCCCCACGCCTCCCCCAACGCCTCCGCCCACGCCTCCCCCAATCCCTCCCCCCATGCCCATCCCCATGGCAAGGCCACCAGCAGGGGCGGGTCCCATCGCCCCCATCGCTCCCTGCACTCCCAGTGACCCCAGCAGCCCCCCTCCTTGCGCGCCCAGCGCTCCCAGGGAGTTCCCCCCCAGTGCTCCCAGTGAGCTCCCCCCCAGTGCTCCCAGGGACCCCAGGGACCCGAGGGCGTTGAGGGCAGCGGCGGCAGCAGCAGCGTGGCGTGTGGCGGCGAATACAGATGCCACGTGGCTGTGCCCTGCATCTGCCACCGCCGCTGCTGCCATCTCTACCACTGCTTGCTGCTGCTGCTGCTGCTGCTGCTGCTGCTGCTGCAACGCCTGCTCGCCTCCCCTTCCTCCCTCTCCGCCACCACCCCCACCTCCTCTCCCTCTCCCTCCCTCGCCTCCGCCCTGCCCCCCGTGCTGCTGCTGCGGGTGAAGCTGGTTCTTGTGCTGCTGCAGGAATGGCACCTTTGCTTGTCCTGCCTGCCCTGCTGCCCCCGCATGTGGGTGGAGTTCCCACCCTGTTGCCGCTGCTGTAGCTTTCGAATCATGTGCCACGTCAGCACTGCGGCCATTTGCCCCCACGCTCCCCATCCGCCCGTCCGTTCCAGTGAGTTGCCCCCCTCCTTCCCCCCCTCCACCTTCCCCCTCGCCCCCGCCGGCTCCGCCCTCCCCCTCTATCCGCGCACTGCTGCCAATCCCGCCACTCGCCTCCTCCCCATCCCCCGGCTCTCCCCCTATAGCCGCTATACCCCCTATAAGCTCTTCCTTCGAAATCCCTGCGCGCACTAAAAAATCTTCCAGTGTAATTTCTGCAAACGACAATTGCCGTATTTGTTGCTGCCCCTGCCCCTGCGCTTGTTGCTGCTGCGCCTCCCCCCCTCCGCGAGTACCTTCCGCCGATGCCCCGCCCCCTTCCGCTGCTCCCCCCTCCCCCGCTAGTTCGGCCTGTATGTCTTTCCACACGTCTTCAACTGTCCGCGCAGTCAGCGCGCGCGGAAGCGCTGCGGCGGACTTCTGCCTCCGTAGCGAGCGCGCGCGCAGCAGCCCCGCGGCCTTGTCGCGCGCGCGCGGATCCGCGCCGCCGGCGGCGTGCGCGGCGGCGAGCATTTGCGACTCCTCGGCGAGCCAGACGGATCGCAGAAAGTCGTCCATGGGCATGGATGCGACGGCGTGCGACGGGCCTGCGAACGTCGCCTGGAATTCGTCGAGCGTGAGTGAGTAGATTGACGCCTGCCGCGCTAGCAGCTCCGGGAACGCCATGGCGCGCGGGCGGAGGGCGGAGAGGCGGAGCGGCGGAAAGGCGGAGAAGCGGAAAGGCGGAAAGGTGGAGAGGCGGAGGCGGGAAAGCGGACAGACGCCGAAGAGGGGATTATGTACAAATTAGGCGCCGTTATAGGAGACGGTGACGAGCGGACGATTCGAGAGGTGCCTAGAAAATAGGTGGCGCGAGAGAGGGGAGGGTATTTACAAGGGTAACGGCGGCTATGCGACGCGCAAAGACATCAACGCTCTCCGCCGACGCCGGCGGCGGATGAATCGGCGGTACTATGGGCCCACTCGACTTGTATTTGACACGTTGCGGCGCACTTTCGCGTCTAGTTGCGGTGTATTAGTAAGCTGCTAACGAAACTGTCAATAGAGTGGTTCAAAATTTCACGCGCCTATCACTCGCCTATCGCGGCGCCTAAGCCAGCCCGTTCCTGACGGCTCCTCCCATTCCCCTCCTCCCCCATCCTCTCGTCGCATCGTCGCAAGGATGAGTGGCGCTGGGTGATCGTAGGGATGCGCACGACAAGGCAACGAGCACGCGAAGGCACGGCCTGGAGGAGGAATAAACTGCGGATTCAAGGAGCAGCGAATCAAAGGAGGTGCGGCACACGGAGGGCCGATGCGGAGCACGGCAGTGGAAGTGGGTAAAATCTAGAGAGACATGCGCGTGACGAATGGCGACTCGGGGTGGTATGTGGGATATCAGCGGAATGAAGTGAGTGAACGTAGTAACGAGTGATTTCTGGCAGGTGGTGGTGAGAAGGGAAGACGGGGAGCGGGAAGGTGATTGGCGGCGCTGCAGGTTGCTTGCTAACGCCAAATCAAGACGAGGGCGGGGGCTGAGAAAGTTAGAAAGCGGTTCAATGTGCTGCTTTGCGTTCAAGAGCGATCAATTTAAAAGATACAACGGTTGGGTGGGGTGTTGAGTTGAATTGATGTTTTTGGATCTGCATCGCGTGCAACCCGATAAAGGCGGCCTCATCTGCACTACAGAGACCACATGAAACTCTTCACCGTATTTTCAACTCATCAGTCTTGCGTCTGGTTGTTGCTGACGAAACTCACGGGCTGATTGGTTTGTTCCTCAGCAGACTCCCAGGTTTCCGCCTGTACCTCGTACACGTGTCAGCATCCCATTCCCCGTTAGCTGGCAAAGCACCTCCTCTGGGTCCGTTACAAAGAGGGTTCCATTTCACAACAGCTAGATACACACTTTGTACATTACGATTATTTCGGAAGTCCCATCCCATCCCCCGAACCCCAAGTTTCGATTCGTTCTGATCCAACCCAGAGTTCAATCACCATCCGATCTTCGCCATACTTCTCCGCGCACTCAGAGATCATCAGCAGCCGCGTCGCGCGTGCTCTAGTCGCCACCAGCAACATTATTCCGCCCTGGCATTGGCAGCCGTCGAAGAAACGAGCAACGCCGCCCAGCGCGGTATCTCCAGTGATTGTCGCCGAACGTGTTCCTTCTCTTCCGCGCAGCTTTCCCCGTTCCGCGCGAGTCCGGCCCATGGCCCTCCGCGTCCACCCCGCCTTGCCCCCGGGAACGCGCCCCTTGGCGAGTGTTACAGTAACTAGCGAACGTAATAGGTAGGTCGTCGCCGCTGCGGTGTTTTCGCAATCAATGTGCGCTTTATCGCACGCCCGCACGGCCTTCTTCACATGCAGTGTAGACCGTTCATCGCTCGCTATACGCTGCTGCGATATGAGTGACATTCAGAACAAGAGCGTCTACACTCTTCCCTGGCGTTTTCCGAATCACCCACTCTTGTCCTCCATCCATCCTCATTCCATTCCCCATTGACTCTAACCCCGTTCCATCCTGTTCTCGACTCTCGCTCCTTTTTCTCCATTCTCTCGCCTGTCCCTCTCCCTGCCTCCCTCTCCCATCCCACCGCCTCTCTGTTCCCTTTCCTTTCCCCCCTTCGCCAACCCTCCTCCCCCATTTTTTCCAGAATACCCTTGCCCCGCGCGCGCCTACTATCCTCCGCCCACTCGCTAGCCGCCGCGTCCCCTTTCCGCACCGACTTCTGCGCCACTCCGCCAGGCGCAGCGCGCGCCCCCTCCCGCAGGCGGAGGGCGTGGCGCGCAGCTGCTGCAGCGGGCGCGGGCGAGGCGGATGCGGGGACGTCCCCGCTGGTGACCGCTGCGGGCGATGGCGCAGTGAGGGCGGGTGAGAGGCAATGGCGCGGAAGGGGGGCGGGGGGGGGCGGGTGAGTTGCAGTGGGAGGGGGGGCGCGCGCGGGTGAGTGGCAATGGTGCGAAGAGGCGGATAATTTCTTTGTGGCGCAGTGAGGGTAAGTGAGTGAGGTAGCGTTCCCCTTCCTCCCCTCCCGTCCGCCCTTCTCCCCTCCCCACAGCATCCCACATACCAAGGGCGCCTTCGACTCCCCGCGCCGGTTCGCTAAGAAGTTTGCTCGCACCACACTGCCTGGCCTTACAGCCCACTCCCCACCCTTCCCACTCCCCATTCCCCCCTTTCCTCCTCTTCGGTCTCCGCCACACGTTCAGGCCTCTTTCGCTCACCTGAGTCAGGCGGAGTGGAGAGCGCGACGAGCGCCCACGGGCTGCCAGCGCCGGTGCGCAACCGGCGCCGGTTGCGCTCTTCATGATGCCGCCGCCCTTGACCCCACCCTCTTTCTCACCCCCTTCCAGTGTCAGCCACACGCTCGGGTCTCTTCCGCTCGCCAGACTCAGGAGGGGTGGAGAGTGCAACCAGCGCCCACGGACTACCCGCCCCAGCAGTGGCAGTGCGCAACCTGGTGGAGCAGGCGCAGTACGCACAGCTCTGCTCCATCATGCCAATTCTGCCCCCTGCCGTTCCCCCCCTCCCATTTCCCCCCTTCTCCCCACACCCCCTCCCATTTCCCCCCTTCTCCCCACACCCCCTCCCATTTCCCCCCTTCTCCCCACACCCCCTCCCGTCCCCTCTCTTCCAGTCTCCGCCACTCGCTCGGGCCTCTTCCGCTCGCCAGTCTCAGGCGGAGTAGAAAGCGCCACGAGCGCCCACGGGTTGCCAGCCCCGGCTGTAGCAGTGAGGAATCTGGTGGAGCAGGCGCAGTACGCACAGCTCTGCTCCATCATGTCAAGGTCGCACCACCGCCGCAAGGGGTACCCCTTTGGGTCTCTTGTTGACTTTACCACTGACGCTGACGGCCGTGAGTAAAAAAGGGGAAGGTGGGGAGGGGAACGGGGGCAGGGGGGGCAGGGAGTGGGATGGAAGAGCGTGGGCAGTGGGCAGAGGAAGGGGATAGGAGGGAAGGGCAGGTGAGGGAGCAAGCAAGGAGGGCAGCAGGCGCAGTACGCACAGCTCTGCTCCATCATGTCCCGCTCGCACCACCGCCGCAAGGGCTACCCCTTTGGGTCTCTTGTTGACTTTACCACCGATGCTGATGGCCGTGAGTGGGGAAATGAAGGGATTGGGGGCATGAGTGGGAAAGTGGGTAAGGGGGAAGTGGGGAGAGAGAGGGGGAGATGGGGAGGGGGAGGTGGGGAGGGGGGAAGGGCGGGTGAGCGAGGTTGGACCGAGGATGGGAGTGAGTGTGCAGGGGAAACGAGAGAGGAAGTCTGCTTGTTCCACCTTTTCCTGCCATCCCCCCTCACCAAACCCCTTGTTCCTGCTCTCCCCTCTCGGCATGCACTCGCGCAACCTCCAGTCCGACCCGCGCTGCACCGCACCGTGGTGGTGCAGATCGCACCTACCCCTGGTTGAGCGGCCTTGCCAACACCAACCTGCACCTGGGACCCACCTTTCTGATCCCACCCACCTTTCCCTGCCATTCCCTCCCCTCCCCATTCCTCCCAGACCCGGTCTTCCTGCTCTCCCCTCTCGGCATGCATTCGCGCAACTTGCAATCGGACCCGCGCTGCACCGTGGTGGTGCAGATCCCCGGCTGGAGCGGTCTTGCCAATGCCCGTGCCACCATCTTTGGGGACCTCTACCCCCTGCCGCCCAGCCAGCAGGTGGGATAGGTACTAGGTACCAGGTACCAGGAGGTGCCATGCCACTGGTCTTACCAAAGAGCGACATGTGAGCATGCTGCAGCAGGTGCACCGTGGTGGTGCAGATCCCGGGGTGGAGTGGCCTTGCCAATGCCCGCGCCACCATCTTTGGCGACCTCTACCCCCTGCCGCCCAGCCAGCAGGTGCGATTGCTACCCTTGCCGCCCAGCCAGCAGGTGGGACCTGTACTCTTTTGTCGTCTATCCCCCCAGATAGCTGGTAGAGACTAGACACATCACAGCACATGGGGGTGAAACCAAGTGCGATAACAACCCGTTAGCGTGTTTGCATCAGCACGCAAACAATCCCCTCTCCCTCCCTAACTCCTCCTCCCCTCCATGCCCCCCACCTCACATTTTGCCATTTCTCCCTCCGGGCCCTCACTTCACCTCCCTCCCTCCCTCCCTCCCTCCCTCCCTCCCTCCCTCCCTCCCTCCCTCCCTCCCTCCCTCCCTCCCTCCCTCCCTCCCTCCCTCCCTCCCTCCCTCCCTCCCCTTTGGTTCCGCCACTGGCAGGAGTGGGCGCGGGGCTTCTATGTGAAGCGGCACCAGCACGGGGCAGCGCAGCAATGGGGCAACTTCCACTTTTACCGCATGGATACCATCTGGTAAGTGCATTCATCTTGTAACCAGATTCATGCGGTAACCGCATTCATCTTGTAACCAGATTCGTTCGGTAAGCGCATTCATCTGGTCATCCGGTAACCGCTTTTGGCACCATCTACTTACTGGGGGGGGTTGGCAAGGTGGCATGGATTGACGTGGCTGAGTATGTGAAATGGCGCCTAGATACTGACACACTCTCTTGCCCTTCCAACCACCCTCCCTTCCTCCCCCTCCCTCTCCCCACCCTTCCGCCCCCCCCACCCCAACAGCGACATCTACTTTGTGGGGGGCTTTGGCACGGTGGCGTGGATAGATGTGGCTGAGTATGTGAATCGGTGCCCCTCTTGCCCTTCCCCCTTCCTCCCCATCTCGCGTTTCCCTCCATTGTGCCCCCTTCCAGCGATATTTACTTTGTGGGCGGCTTTGGCACGGTGGCGTGGATAGATGTGGCTGAGTATGTGGCTGCCACACCCGACACCGTGGCCACCAACCACGTGGAGCACACGCTGCAGGTGAGTGAGAGGAAACACACTTTGTGCTCACAGTTACTGCTGAGGGCACTCATTCTGTGCTCACAGTTACTGCTGAGGCCACTCATTCTGTGCTCACAGTTACTGCTGAGGGCACTCATTCTGTGCTCACAGTTACTGCTGAGGGCACTCATTCTGTGCTCACAGTTACTGCTGAGGGCACTCATTCTGTGCTCACAGTTACTGCTGAGGGCACTCATTCTGTGCTCACAGTTACTGCTGAGGGCACTCATTCTGTGCTCACAGTTACTGCTGAGGGCACTCATTCTGTGCTCACAGTTACTGCTGAGGGCACTCATTCTGTGCTCACAGTTACTGCTGAGGGCACTCATTCTGTGCTCACAGTTACTGCTGAGGGCACTCATTCTGTGCTCACAGTTACTGCTGAGGGCACTCATTCTGTGCTCACAGTTACTGCTGAGGGCACTCATTCTGTGCTCACAGTTACTGCTGAGGGCACTCATTCTGTGCTCACAGTTACTGCTGAGGGCACTCATTCTGTGCTTCCAGGTGAGTCTCTGTGGCTGAGTATGTGGCTGCCACGCCTGATACCGTCGCCACCAACCATGTTGAACACACGCTGCAGGTGAGGCTGAGAGGGAACATACCGTTGTGAGACGGGGGCCCTCTGAGCTGGCGAGGTCGAGCCCCCAACAGGCCATCGATGACGCTTCCTCCCTCTCTCAAATCATAGTGGTCGTCCACCCCTCTGTGCCTGGAAGGAACTCAACGATCGGCTGGGGGGAGGGGACTGAGGGCGGTGCTGGCAGGGTCGAGTGCGGTGCGCTATCATTGTGCTTCTCCTTCCCTCGTCTTCCCTCCTCTCTCCTTTCTCCTCGTGACAGGAGCTCAACGACCGGCTGGGCGCCGAGCTGGGAGCAGTGCTGGCGGGGTCGAGCCCCCAGCAGGCCATCGATGACGCTTCCTCCCTTTCTCTAATCATAGGTGCTTCCTCGCCCTGACTGTGGCTGTCAGGAACTCAACGACCGGCTGGGCGGGGAGCTGAGGGCAGTGGTTTGGTGTGGATTGTCATCGTGGTTTTTTCCGTCTTCTTCCGTCCCTCTCTCGTTGCTCCCCCCTTCAGGAGCTGAACGACTGGCTGGGGGTGGAACTGAGGGCGGTGCTGGCAGGGTCGAGCCCCCAGCAGGCCATCGATGATGCTTCTCCCTCTTCCCTCACCTGCTGTCCTTGTGCTCTCCTCCCCCCTTCAGGAACTCAACGACCGGCTGGGCGGGGAGCTGAGGGCGGTGCTGGCAGGGTCGAGCCCCCAGCAGGCCATCGATGATGCTTCTTTCATCAGCATTGACAGCAAGGGGGTGGATATCCGCGTGCGACACGGCACACAGGTGAGAGCGTAGGACGGCACACAGGTGCATAAAGGGCTGGTTGGTATTCGGGTGACTCAAGCAGTGAGCCCCCAGCAGGCCATTGCTGATGCATCGTCGTTCATCAGCATTGATAGCAAGGGGGTGGACATCCGCGTGCAACTCGGCACTCAAGTGTGAAGTGGGGTGCAGAGATAGCATGGCATGGGATGTGAACCAGGTGACTCGAGCCTCCAGCAGGCCATTAAAGATGTGTCGTTTATCAGCAGCAACAGCAAGGATGTGGATATTTGCGTGCAGCACGGCACTCAGGTGAGTAGAGAAGGCGAGAGGTGATGAGGTGGGCAGGTGGGATGATGTGTCAGCTGGGCACGTTCATGCAGCCAGTAACGATCTAATACCCTGCAGATGCCTCTTGTTTTCTTACCCGTCTCCGTGCACCTCCTTTGTCTTGACCTGCCCTGCCTCCCCCTCCTCTTCATTCCCTTTCCCCGCCCCCCTTCACTTCTCCCCCATCTTCAGTTCCATATTCCTCACCACATCAGACCCCGTCCACTCAATGCCAGCAACAGAGGCCACACACACTCGCACCCATGCCCTCTCACTCCCCTCCCAAACACCCAATCCACCCTCTGCAGTTCCACGTGCAGCGCCTCTCCTTCACCACATCAGACGCAGTCGACTCACTGCCAGCAGCAGAGGCAGCCCTCCGCCGCATCCTCGCCTGCCCCTCACTCGTGCTCCCCAATGGCACCCCTCTGCTCTGACCACTTCACTCATCCTCACCTACCCCTGCTAGCCCGTATACTATCTGTGACGGCTGCACAGCCCCTCTAGGGTCCTCCCTCATCCTCCCCAGCAGCACCCTGCTCCTCTGACCGTTTGCAGTCCCTGTCCCTGCTATGCGCCATGCACAGCCCCATTTTCGGTAACCAACCACTGCCCTAATGGCCGCACAGCCTTGTGAATTGATGTGCTATGAGACATCCCACCCACCAAGGTGCTCCTGTGCTCACGGCTCGCTCCTGATGTTTCGGAACAAGGGCATCTTTCTCGGCTGAGTGGGTGGTGTCTCGAACAAGGCGATTTTCTAGGCGCCTCAAATCGTGTGCTTACAAATTGTTCCCGTTCGAAGGGAGGTTTTGTTATCGAGTGGTTGGTGGCTCCAACAATCACGCTGTCACCATTCCTGCCTGTTTTCCACTCTGTTTTTTTCCAGTTGTTTAATTTAGCCATACCATGTGGGAACAGTATGTGCATGCATTGCACACCCAGATAGATATTTATGTATTGACCAACATTGAAGGAAACGTACACACACATTCAAGTGGGCCTGCCAAACCAGCGGCAGCGGCCCTTTCTAACCTCACTCGTAACAGCTGCAGCGGCAAGATGGGCACCATGCATGCCATTGATTTGGATTGATCCCCATTCAGCACAACAGTCAGCTTCGCATGACTGGCTTGATGGTTGGCAGTGCGGTGCAGTACGGTGCAGTACAGTACCAGCCCTTAATGGTGCTTGGCAGTGCGGTGCTGCTGCATGAAGGCACGGAGGCAGAGCACCATGACATCCCGGGCTCGTTGCGAGGGAAGTGTGAGTTCCACCTCCTTGTCTGCACTCACCACCACGCGCATGCGCTCCCGCTCATTCGGTTCTGTTTCCACCTGATGGCTCAAAGGTGCAATGAGAGGTGGGAGAGGAAGGGGTTGAAAGAGGGTGGAGGGAAGTGTGAGCTCCACCTCCTTGTCCGCACTCACCACCACGCGCATGCGCTCCCGCTCGCCCGGCTCTGTCTCCACCTGCAGACACGGGGTGGGGAGAATGAGATATGGGAGACAATACGGGAAAACAAAGGGAGCTCTACCTCCTTGTCCGCACTCACCACCACCCGCATGCGCTCCTGCTCGCCTGGTTCAGTTTCCACCTGATGGCACATGTGGTGCAATGAGAGATGGGAGAGGATGGAAGAGGAAAGGGGGTGGGAAGAATGAGAGATGGGAGAGAAAGGGGGAATTGTGTTACCCCAAGTTCCCAAACCCTGAACCCTAACCTTTAGGTTCCCAAACCTGAGCCGTGAGCGTTACCCTGAAGGGCGGGTCGTAGGTTGCCCTGACTTCCACTCTGTTGATGGCAGCGAGTGCTGTGAGCTTCACCACTTTGAACCGCTTTCTACTGGCGTCCACCACTCGGTGCTCCCTTCGGCCTGACCGCCCCACGTCATGCGTCTGGCGAGCAGGGAAGGCAGAGGGGAGAAGGGAGAAGGGAGAAGAGAAAAGGGAGAAGGGAAAAGGGAGAAGGGAAAAGGGAGAAGGGAATGGAGAGGGAAATGGGGGGAAGTGGGGAGGGGGCAAGGAGAGGAGAATGTGGAAAGGGCATGTGGAGGATGGGTATATGTGGAGGGTGGTTGTAAGCAGGGCACGGTATACCTGGCATGAATGGCATGGCATGGCAGCATGACATACATAGACACAACAGCACATGGCCACCTGAGAACACATGGCCACCTGAGAACACATGGCCACCGGGGAACGCAGCTGGGTGGGGGGGGAAGGCAGCTGGGTGGGGGGGGGAACGGCCACCTGAGAACACATGGCCACATCATGAACACAGTACCGTCCCCAGCACTAAACACTCCTCGGCATCCCCTCAGCACCCCCCCCGCACCACCCGTCCGTCATGGGCACTGACCTCCACTTTGGTGCTGCCTGCCGCCACTATGAGACCCACATGCCTCGCTACAGCGGGGTGTGCGTGGTCGCGCAAGAGCACAGTGTCCCATGGCAGCACGTGACTGCTTCATGCACCCACCCTCCCAACCCCCCAGTTACCAGCCCCCAGCACCATGTGTCATGACTCATGGGAATTGACCTCCACTTTGGTGCTGCCTGCTGTCACTATGAGACCCACATCCGTCTCCACTGCGGGGTCTGGCAGGGAAGGATAGTTGCACGCACATGGTCCTATAACAGCAGCACGTGACTGCTTCGTGTGCCCACCCAGCCTCCCGATTACCAAACCCCAGCACCACCCGTCACGGGAACTGACCTCCACTTTGGTGCTGCCCGCCGCCACTATGAGATCCACATCCCTTGCCACTGCGGGGTCTGGTGGGGGACAAGGGGGGGGGGGGGGGAGGGGGGGTAAATGACAATCAAGGTGCGGAGCAGGGTTAATGGCACAACAGTGCAGAGTGCGCTTCGAGTCGACTCAGAAGGCTGCCCGCCGCCACTATGAGATCCACATCCCTTGCCACTGCGGGGTCTGGTGGGCATGGGAGCACAGGTGCACGGGGAGAGACGACAGTGCAGGGGGGAGTGAGTGAGGGAGCGGCTGGTTGTGAGGCCACTGAACGAACGGCCATCACAATGCGGTGCACGTCCCGTGCCCCTGCGGGGTTTGGTGGGCATGGGAGCATAGGTGCACCCGGGAAAGGAGTAGGGGAGAAGGGAGGGCAGTGCAGGGGGGTGAGTGAGCACAGGTGAATGGCGGAGCAGTGCGTAATGAGCAGGGAGAAGAGAGCAAGGAGCAGGTAGCGTGTGGGTGTGTACGTCCAATGAGGAAGACGAGGGGAGGAGAAGTAGGTGCAATGCAGTGCAGGCACGCTATACGAATGGGCAATTTCCCGTACCAACAAGCACTTGCGGGGACAGCACTCGCAGCACCACCTCCTCCCCCTCCCCCTCCCCTCCCCCCTCCCCCTGCTGGGAGTGCACGCCTTGGGAGTGCAGGTATGATGCAATGCAGTGCAGGCATGTATGGGCAATTTCACGTACCGACAAGCACTTGCGGTGACAGCACTCGCAGCACCACCTCCTCCCCCTCCCCTTCCCCCTGCTGGGAGTGCAGGTCGTGGGCGGGGAGGGGCCGCATCTCCACCATGAGGCACTGATGCGCGTCTGCCACGTCAGCTTGGTATGTCATGCCCGTTGCACCTGATAATGAAGTGAGCGGAGGGGGCGGGGTTGGGGACAGGGGGAGTGGTGGGCAGGGCGGGGAGCGGCCGCAGCTCCAGCATGAGGCACTGGAGTGCGTCTGCCACGTCTGCCTGGTACGTTGTGCCCGTTGCACCTGAGAGTGGGGGGAAAGGAGGGGAGGAGGGAGGGGAGACACATTGACTCAAGAGCCGCAGCTCCACCACGAGGCACTGGTGTGCATCTGCCACGACCGCCTGGTATGTTGTGCCCGTGGCACCTGCAAGTGGGGAGGGGAAGGAGTGGGGGAGGGAGTGGAGGCAACTTAACTCAAGAGTTGCAGCTCCACCATGAGGCAGCAGTGCCACGTCTGCCGGGTATGACATGCCCGTTGCACGGCGTCTTATCCACCTCAATAGCTAGGCAGAGGTAGCACAGGGGCGGGCACTCACCGGGTAGGGGGTGCGGGTCCAGGGCGTGGAATCCCCCTGGGCTGGGGGCACGCGGAACCACTGCATTCGGCAGGCGGAGGGGCGCAGCCAGGGAAAGGGGGGGGGAAACGGATGATAGGGGTACGGCACCTAACCTCGCACCTAACCTGAAGAACTCACCAGGTATGGGGTGGGGGTCCAGGACATGAAGCTCCCCGAGGGGCACGCGGAGCCACTGGACGCAGCAGGAGGCGTGAGCACGGGCAGGCAGGCAAGGGGGCCGGGGAGGACGGTTTGGGGGTTTAGGGGCTAGCCCAGGGGCACTCACCGGGTATGGGGTGGGGATCTAAGGCGTGGAACCCCCCTAGGGGCACGCGGAACCACTGCATGCAGCAGGCGGAGGGGCGCAGCCATGCAAGGGAGGGGGAAGGGCCGATAGGGGCACGGCACCTAACCTCACACACCTCTGCCTGAAGCACTCACTGGGTATGGGGTGGGGATCCAAGGCGTGGAACCCCCCTGGAGGCACACGGAACCACTGCATGCGGCAGGAGGAGGGGCGCAGCCAGGTGGGCACGGGGGGAAGGGGGACAATAAGGGCTAGTCCAGTTGGCAGTAGCAGCACTTACCGGGTATGGGGTGGGGGTCCAGCGCATGGAAACCCCCTGGGGGCACGCGGAACCACTGGATGCGGCAGGAGGAGGGGCGCAGCCAGGCAGGGGCAGGGAGCGACGGCGGGAGGTGCAGGTGGAAGAGCGACGTGTGGTAGGGCCCTCCTGATATGCGCAGCGCGGTGCTGCTTTCTGAGTGTGCGGGGGTGGCTGCAGGGCGGGACCCTGCACTCGCTGCCTCTGCCGACCCTCTGCTCTCCCGTCTGCCTTCTCCTTCCCCCACATACCCTCCCCTTATGCCTTCAATCCCTCCACGCCCTTGCTCATGCCCTTCCTCCACGCGGCCTCCCAACCCTTCCTGCCCTCGTTCACGCCCTCCTTGCTCATGCCCGCCCTGCGCCCCTCCCCTGCCTCCCTCCAGCAGCACGGCCCCCTCGCCCTCACCCCGCTGCTGTGCCCTCTGCATACCCCGCACCTCCTCCGCCCCTGCTGCAGCAGCGGTGCTCCTCGCAGTGCCGTCAGCAGCACTAGCGGGAGCAGCGGGAGCAGCCGGCAAGGTTTCAGAGGTAGGCAGCCCATCAGCATCGCCTGCAGAGGCTGCCGCTGGGGCAGCAGCAGCAGGGGTGGCAGTCGCAGCCTCAGGAGTGGCTGGAACGGCAGGAACGGAGACAAGGTCAGCGGCTGGAACAGCAGGAGCAGGAGCGATGGGGGTGGCGGTGGTGGCAACAGAGTTGAAGGAGCGCCCGAACGAGTCCAGCACGGTGGCGGAGCACAGCAGGTACGCGCCCACGTGGCGCTCCGTCACTGGCAGGCGCGCTGACGTGGCGCCGTCGATCGGGCGGTGCGAGTCGGAGCCGCTGCTGGCCTGCCACCTGGCAGAGATGGAAGAGGGAGGATAAGGGTAATGAGATGGCAGTGGGACAGGTGCATTAAAGGGAGGTGCGAGCCGTTTCTGACCTGATGGCGATGTGGCTTGACCTCACTTGTGAGTCACCAGTGCAAACGACATGGGCACCTCTCCCATGGATGTGGATGGCTGGGTGCCCATCTCTCAACTTGAGTGCGGGCGGCAGGGCATGCACGCAGCACTTGACTCGATTCGGGGCTCACCAGTGCAAATGAGTTACCCAGTTCACCACTGCATATGAATGGCAGTGACGAATGGCTTGAGTGCAGGTGACACAGCATGCAGGATGCCTTGTGCAGCAGTGGTGGGTCAACTCGACTCACAGCTCACCAGCGCAAATGAGCTGGGCTCACCAGTGCCTGTGTTTCTGGGACTCACCACTGCATGTGAACAGCTGTGACGAAGGGCTCCAGGGCGGGCGACACAGCATGCAGGGCGTGCAGCAGTGGTGGGTCAACTCGACTCACAGCTCACCAGCGCAAATGAGCTGGGCTCACCAGTGCCTGTGTTTCTGGGACTCACCACTGCATGTGAACAGCTGTGACGAAGGGCTCCAGGGCGGGCGACACAGCATGCAGGGCGTGCAGCAGTGGTGGGTCAACTCGACTCACAGCTCACCAGCGCAAATGAGCTGGGCTCACCAGTGCCTGTGTTTCTGGGACTCACCACTGCATGTGAACAGCTGTGACGAAGGGCTCCAGGGCGGGCGACACAGCATGCAGGGCGTGCAGCAGTGGTGGGTCAACTCGACTCACAGCTCACCAGCGCAAATGAGCTGGGCTCACCAGTGCCTGTGTTTCTGGGACTCACCACTGCATGTGAACAGCTGTGACGAAGGGCTCCAGGGCGGGCGACACAGCATGCAGGGCGTGCAGCAGTGGTGGGTCAACTCGACTCACAGCTCACCAGCGCAAATGAGCTGGGCTCACCAGTGCCTGTGTTTCTGGGACTCACCACTGCATGTGAACAGCTGTGACGAAGGGCTCCAGGGCGGGCGACACAGCATGCAGGGCGTGCAGCAGTGGTGGGTCAACTCGACTCACAGCTCACCAGCGCAAATGAGCTGGGCTCACCAGTGCCTGTGTTTCTGGGACTCACCACTGCATGTGAACAGCTGTGACGAAGGGCTCCAGGGCGGGCGACACAGCATGCAGGGCGTGCAGCACTGCTCCCACCTCTGCCCGCCCCTCCACCTCCAGTGACACCGCCTCCTCGTCCGACAGCTCTGGTGTGCGGTGGTGAGGGGTAGTGTAGGGTGATGGGGGTTGGTGGTGGTTGGTGGGGGGTGGTGGGGATGGTGAGGGGTGGTGAGGGGTGGTTGGGGTATGGGGATTTTGAGAGGAGTGAATGAGAAAGAAGGAACATGGCACTTACCAGAGATCATGGAGGCTGATCTGGCAATGCATACTGACGTGGCAATACAAGCTGATGTGGCAATACAAGCTAACTTGGCAACACAAGCTGACCTGGCAGCACGATGGGACCTGGGGCAGAGAGCACCTCGTCGCCCCATGTGCCATCAGATAGCCACGGGCGACAGCTGGTGGGGTAGGGAGAGGGGGAGGGGAAGGGAGGGAGTTGGGGAGGGAGTGGGAGAGGGAGTGAGGGAGGGAATGGGGCATGATGGGCCCCGGAGCAGGTATCACCTCGTCGCCCCATGTGCCATCAGATAGCCACGGGCGACAGCTGGTGGCGCAGGGAGAAGGGGAGTGGAAGCGAAGGAGTGAGGGAGGGGGTGGAAGGGAGGGAGTGAAGGGGGAAATGGCGGACAATGGGCCCTGGGGCAGAGAGCACCTCGTCGCTCCACGTGCCATCGGATTGCCACGGCCGACAGCCGGTGGCGCAAGGCGGGAGCGAGGGAGCAGAGGGAGTGGGTGAAAGCAGTGACTTTATGTGATTCTAACAGTGACAGTTGCTTGGGCTGGGCGAAAAGGGGAGGGGTCGGGTAGGGAGTGGGGGAGCTAGCAGGGGAGTGAAGAGGGAGAGGGTGGTGCAGGGAGGAGTGTGAAGGCAGCACAGAGAGAGCAATGACATGGCGTCATCACAAACTCCCAATCACCCTTATGAGTCACCACAGCAGCCCAGCCGCAATGGATACCCACTCACCCCGCCACCACATAGCAGCCATAATCAGCCTCCCCTCCCTCTATGCGCCTATTGAGGTGCGTGCATCAATACTCATACGCCCCCCCATAAATCCCACTCACCCCGCCACCACACAGCAACCATAATCAGCCTCCTGAGGCACATACGTGCGCCCTTCTGCTCCCTCTATCCGCTCCATCCGCCCATCCCGCCCCTGCATGTACCATGCCACCCACACGTCCCCCTCCCCCGCTCCCCTCTCTCCCCTTCCACCCTCCCCCGATCTCCCCTCCCCCAGCCCGCCTTCTCCCCCTCCCCTCTCCCCCCCTGCAGCGCGCTCTAGCATCTCTCCTCCTGCCTGTAACACGCCCCCCTCCAACACACTGATACACACACGGCGATCTGTGGGGAACAAATCAGGGGGACATTGGGGTATGTGGGGTATTGGCGAGGAGGGGGTGAAGGGGAGTGGGTGGGGCATCTCCCCCCCTGCAGCGCGCTCTAGCATCTCCCCTCCTGCCTGCAACACGCCCCCCTCCAACACACTGATACACACACGGCGATCTGTGGGGAACAAATCAGGGGGACATTGGGGTATGTGGGGTATTGGCGAGGAGGGGGTGAAGGGGAGTGGGTGGGGCATCTCCCCCCCTGCAGCGCGCTCTAGCATCTCCCCTCCTGCCTGCAACACGCCCCCCTCCAACACACTGATACACACACGGCGATCTGTGGGGAACAAATCAGGGGGACATTGGGGTATGTGGGGTATTGGCGAGGAGGGGGTGAAGGGGAGTGGGTGGGGCATCTCCCCCCCTGCAGCGCGCTCTAGCATCTCCCCTCCTGCCTGCAACACGCCCCCCTCCAACACACTGATACACACACGGCGATCTGTGGGGAACAAATCAGGGGGACATTGGGGTATGTGGGGTATTGGCGAGGAGGGGGTGAAGGGGAGTGGGTGGGGCATCTCCCCCCCTGCAGCGCGCTCTAGCATCTCCCCTCCTGCCTGCAACACGCCCCCCTCCAACACACTGATGCTCACACGGCGATCTGTGGGGAACAAATCAGGGAGACATTGGGGTATGTGGGGTATTGGAGAGGAGGGAGTGAAGGGGAGTGGGTGGGGCATCTCCCCAGCAGCCTGCAGCACGCCCCCCTCCAACACACTGATGCACACACGACGGTCTGTGGGAAGGGGAATGGGGAAGCGAGGGAGTGGGGGGGACAATGGGGCGTTGAGGGGCATTTCCCCTCCCTCTTCTGTAACACGCCCCCCTCCAACACACTGATGCACACACGGCGGTCTGGGAGGGGAGTGGGGAAGAAAGGGGAACGTGGGGGACAATGGGGCGTTTGGGGGCGTCTCCCTCCCCGCCTGCCTGCAGCACGCCCCCCTCCAACACACTGATGCACACACGGCGGTCTGTGGGGAGGAAGGGAGGGCGACAGGGGAAAGAGACAGTTGAGTGGGGGTGAGGGGGGTGGGTGGGGCATCTCCCCGCCTGCCTGCAGCACGCCCCCCTCCAACACACTGATGCTCACATGGCGGTCTGGGAGGGGAGTGGGGAAGAAAGGGGAGCGTGGGGGACAATGGGGCTTTGGGGTGCATCTCCCTCCCCTCCTGCCTGTAATACGCCCCCCTCCAACACACTGATACACACACGGCGGTCTGAAAGGCAGGGGAGGAAGGGAGCGTGGGTGTGGGTGACCAGGGGACTGGGGGAGCTGCGGAGCAGGGGGGAGGTAGAAACAGGAAGAGCAGGCGAGCGGCTGGTGGCAAATGTGGGTGACCTGAAGTGCATGCGTGGTGTGCCTGTAGCAGCTTCCACACAGCAGCCATGAAGGGCCGACTGGCAGCACCTGGTGCGACTGGCAACACCTGGTGCGACTGGCAACACCTGGTGTGACTATACTGGTGGTGAGAGCAGCCACCCCCCCAACAGCCCCATCGGCCCGCACGGGAGTGAATGCAGCAGTGCACTGAAGAGAAACATAAAGGGAGCACCTGGTGTGACTGTATCGGTGGTGATAGCAGCCACCTCCCCAACGGCCCCATCGGCCCGCACGGGAGTGAACTCCACTCGCAGGCGACTCCCCACGTCCTCGACTGCCACCGTGTACATGCCTGCATGGGAGGGGGCAGGGAAGCAGGGAGGCAGAGTGAGAAGCACCGTTCAGTCAGAGAAGCGCCCCAGACAGACATGGCAGCCACCTCCCCAGCAGCCCCATCGGCTCGCACAGGAGTGAACTCCACTCGCAGGCGACTCCCCACGTCCTCTGCTGTCACTGTGTACGTGCCTGCAGGTGTTACGCAGGGGATAGGGGGGGTAGAAAGGCAGGCAGGGCGAGAGGAAACCTTCAGTCAGAGACGCGCCTCAGAAATGGGTGCAACCTCCCCAGCAGCCCCATCGGCCCGCACAGGAGTGAACTCCACTCGCAGCCGACTCCCCACGTCCTCTGCTGTCACTGTGTACGTGCCTGCAGGTGTTACGCAGGGGATAGGGGGGGTAGGGTAGGGCGGCAGGCAGGGCGAGAGGAAACCTTCAGTCAGAGACGCGCCTCAGAAATGGGTGCAACCTCCCCAGCAGCCCCATCGGCCCGCACAGGAGTGAACTCCACTCGCAGCCGACTCCCCACGTCCTCTGCTGTCACTGTGTACGTGCCTGCACAGGGGGGGGCGGTTAGGCAGAGAGGCACGCAGGGCGGGGAGATCGTTCAAAGTTATGTGTACGGCTCGGAAAGAGGCAGCTCAAAGACAGAGTGCGTCCTCCCCTGGCACCGTGGAGTGAACTCCGCTCGCAGCCGCCTCCCCACGTCCTCTGCTGTCACCGTGTGTGTACCAGCATGGGAGGCGGTAGGGAGGGATGGAGGCAGCACCTGGGTATCGATCAAATTCAGAGTGCGTATTTCATTTCAACACCTGCCATGTCAAAGTCCCCGCACCTGCAACCCATAGTCTCTCACCTTGCCGCCCAAGCAATCCTCACCTTGCCGCCCAAGCAATCCTCACCTTGCCGCCCCACAAGCTGCTCCTCCCCTGAGGGCGTCATTCTCACCCATGCTACCTGGCACTCGCCCTGCTGCCTGCATGGAGGAAAGATTCCGGGAGGGCGGATGGGGCATGTGTGGGAGGCAGACGGGGCACACGGGAGGGGGGGGGGGCGCATGGAGGAGGGCGGATGGGGTACATGAGAAAACAAGCGGCAGTGGATAGACAGGGAGAAAAGTAATAGGGCTTGTTGACATGCACAGATACGGAACAGGCACAGCACAGGCTGGGCGCAGCAGAGTCAGGGCGCAGCATGTTACCCTCCACAGTAGAGCGCCCGGCAGGTGAGGAGCCCTCCCGGCCGCACATCGCCCTCCACCGCCAGATTCACACACGAGGGGGGCGCTGGGAGGGTATGGGGGGGGAAGGGGCGAGGGAGAGGGGAAGAATGGAATGGAGGAGACGAGTGTGCGGAAGGACGGCAGTGAACTCCTGGCAGAGGGGTGAGAGCATGAGAGAAACTTGGTGAGAGTGCGCTGAACAGCTTGCTGCAGTGCAGAGATGGGCTGAAGAGTGCTGCGATGGGTCCTAGAAAGATGCGCAATACAATGCGAACACAGTGGCAAACGCGCTGCCATTTCTCCCCTCCGGCCTCTCTCCCACTCGGCCCCTCCTCGCCCCCTCTTCAGGCCCATACCTGCCATGATGGGCCCTACAGGACTGCTCTCAACAGCAGCGCCCTCCTCCCCATCGTCCCTCACCGGCACGCACACCACCACCACCACCCGCCCCACCTCCTCCGCCCCCACACTCAATCCCCCATCCTCCTCCCCCTCCTCCTCCCCCTGATGCTTGAGAGGGTGGATGCGGCGCTTATCACTCATGTCAGGAAGCATCTGCAGGGTTGGAGCGCGGTGGGGATGGGTAGGGGAGCGGTAAGGGAGTTGGGTTGGGAGGAGTGTTGTTGGAATGACTAAGTGGTACTAGGTGGTCATTGCCAGTGTGCAAGTGTTGGTGATCAGAAGCAAACAGAATGAGCTGGTGTGGCAGCATGTCGGGGTTGGCAGCACAAGAAATCAAGAAAGCAAGGAAGCCAGCTCGCTTGCACAGGCGGATGGGCAAGCGGGTGCATACAAAGGGATGGGCAAGCGGGTGCATACAAAGGGATTCACACGTACCGAGAACCATTGCACGCGTGTGTTGCCCTGCCTGCCGCCCGCATACGTCCACCTGGGCACCAGCCGCCCGCCCTCCACCAGATCGCCCTCCACCCACACGTCGCTGACGGACGGCAGCGCCGCCCGGATCGGGCCGGCCGTGCAGACTGCCTGGGGGGTGCCGACCACCCCGTCGGATCGCACAGGAGTGACGCGGAAGGAGAGGAAGCAGCCCACGTCGCTAGCGGACGGCATGTGCCGACTCATGCCGCCCCCCGCCATCCGCGGCTGCTCGCCGTCCTCGTCTTCTACCAGCTCGCCGTGTGGCCCCGGCTGGCCGTCCTCGTCCTGGGCGGCAGACAAGGAGTAGGTGGGTGGGCGAGTGGGTGGGTGGGTGGAAAGTGGTGGTTGGGGGGCGGAGAACTGCCACCACTCACCGCAATTCGCCAGCAATCACTCAATTTCGTCACCACTCACCACATTTCACCCCTGCTCACCGCATATCGGTACCACTCCAGGAGCGAGTCCCCCTCGGCCCCTCCCTGGTACGTGTAATACCCCACCAGCACACCCCCCTCCTCCTCCTCGCCCTCCATATCCGCACTGCATTCAACCACCACTCACCGCATTCAACCACTGCTCACCGCATATCGGTACCACTCCAGGAGCGAGTCCCCCTCGGCCCCTCCCTGGTACGTGTAATACCCCACCAGCACACCCCCCTCCTCCTCCTCGCCCTCCATATCCGCACTGCATTCAACCACCACTCACCGCATTCAACCACTGCTCACCGCATATCGGTACCACTCCAGGAGCGAGTCCCCCTCGGCCCCTCCCTGGTACGTGTAATACCCCACCAGCACACCCCCCTCCTCCTCCTCGCCCTCCATATCCGCACTGCATTCAACCACCACTCACCGCATTCAACCACTGCTCACCGCATATCGGTACCACTCCAGGAGCGAGTCCCCCTCGGCCCCTCCCTGGTACGTGTAATACCCCACCAGCACACCCCCCTCCTCCTCCTCCCCTTCCATATCCGCACTCAACACTTGCGGCTCGCCCTCTGGGCGGGAGAAAAGGAAGGGCAGGGTGGTGAAAAGGGAATGCAGTATGGGAGACGGGTGAATCAGCAGCATCGCCCTGATACGTGTGGAGTGGAGTAATATCCCCCACCAGCACTCAACACCTGCGGCTCACCCTCTGGGCGGGAGGAAGGGGGAGAATGCAGCGCAGAGAAAGGTGTGGGTCAGCAGCCTCACGGTTAAGACAGACAGAGTGTGCCTGATAGGCGTGAAAGAGTAATGCCCCATCACCAGCACCCCCCCCTCCTCCTCCCCACTCTCCTCGTCCACACTCAACACCTGCGACTCACCCTCTGAGGGGATGAGGCCCAAGGGGTGGGGCATGGGAAGGCCCACAGCCCACACACGTGGAACTGCACTACTAGACACAGACAAATGCCTACAACCCACCCACCTGTGACTGCAGCAGAGGACACGGCCACCGGCCACCAAGGTCAAGGGGCGACCCTTGACGCCATCTGCCCGCACTGGCACCAACCGGTCATGCCATCCACGCGCCCACCTGTGATCGCACTGCACGAGCGCACATGTCTACCTTTCACACACCTGTGACCGCACTGCACTAGTACACAGGCCTACCATTCACACACCTGTGACCGCACTGCACTAGTACACAGGCCTACCATTCACACACCTGTGACCGCACTGCACTAGTATACAGGCCTACCATTCACACACCTGTGACCGCACTGCACTAGTACACAGGCCTACCATTCACACACCTGTGACCGCACTGCACTAGTACACAGGCCTACCATTCACACACCTGTGACCGCACTGCACTAGTACACAGGCCTACCATTCACACATTTGTGACCGCACTGCACTAGTACACAGGCCTACCATTCACACACCTGTGACTGCAGCAGAGGACACGGCGACCACAGGCCTGCCCTTGACCCCATCTGCCCGCACCGGCACCAGCCGCACTGCCAGGTGCGACCCTATGGCCTCCAGAGGCACTGTGAGGGCCTGGTGGGGTTAGAGAAACGACCAACGAAAGGGGCCAGAAGGGGGAAAGGAGAGAAGGGATCTCGAAGCTGAGAATCCAATCCCGCATCAGACTCTGGCACCAGCCGCACTGCCCCGTGCGACCCCATGGCCTCCAGAGGCACTGTGAGGGCCTGGTGGGATTATAGGTGGTTGGACGGAGGGAGAGAAAGTGGAAAGGAAGTGGGGCGTGTGGGTGAAGAACCATTCCACCTCACTGGGCCCCTCCTCTTGAGGCCCCTCCTCTTGAGGCCCCTCCTCTTGAGGCCCCTCCTCTTGAGGCCCCTCCTCTTGAGGCCCCTCCTCTTGAGGCCCCTCCTCTTGAGGCCCCTCAGATCCCTCCCTTCTCCGCCCCCTGCACCCCCTTGTTGCGGCTCCTGGCACTCACCATGGAGTTGGGTGTTTCAGAGATGATGGGTTGCAGATTCGAAGTTAAAAGGGAGTGCAGCGTGTGAGTGAAGAACCAAGCCACCCACCGCACTGCACCCCACTGGGCTGCACCACACCCCATTGCACTCACCATGGAGTTGGGGGTCTCAGCAGTGATGGGCTGAAGGTCCGCAGTTGAAAGGGAGTGGGGCGTGTGAGTGAAGAACCACTCCACCTCGCTGCGCCCCTCCTCGGCCCATTGCAACCGCACTCGCACCCGCACCTCCCCACCCTCCACCAGCGGCCCCTCAATCGCCAAATCGCTCGCCCGCGGCAGCGCTGGTGGAGGATGGGTGGGGAGGAAAGGGAGTGCGAAAGAGGGAAGAGGGGCTGTGAGTGTGAAGAGCCATTCTCCCACGCTGTGCCCCTCCTCTGCCCATTGCAACCGTGCCCGCACCCGCACCTCCCCGCCTTCCACCCGTCCGTACCTCTCCTCCCTCCACCAGTGGCCCCTCATCGCCACGTCGCTGGCATGGGGTAGGGCTGATGGTGAGGTGCAGGTTGGAGGTGCAGGTTTGAGGTGCAGGTTGGAGGTGCAGGTTTGAGGTGCAGGTTTGAGGTGCAGGTTTGAGGTGCAGGTTTGAGGTGCAGGCTTGAGGTGCAGGTTTGAGGTGCAGGTTGGAGGTGCAGGTTTGACGTGCAGGTTTGACGTGCAGGTTTGAGGTGCAGGTTTGAGGTGCAGGTTTGAGGTGCAGGTTTGACGTGCAGGTTTGAGGTGCAGGTTGGAGGTGCAGGTTTGAGGTGCAGGTTTGAGGTGCAGGTTGGAGGTGCAGGTTGGAGGTGCAGGTTTGAGGTGCAGGTTGGAGGTGCAGGTTTGAGGTGCAGGTTGGAGGTGCAGGTTGGAGGTGCAGGTTTGAGCTGCAGGTTGGAGGTGCAGGTTTGAGGTGCAGGTTGGAGGTGCAGGTTGGAGGTGCAGGTTTGAGGTGCAGGTTGGAGGTGCAGGTTTGAGGTGCAGGTTTGAGGTGCAGGTTTGAGGTGCAGGTTTGAGGTGCAGGTTTGAGGTGCAGGTTTGAGGTGCAGGTTTGACGAGCAGGTTTGAGGTGCAGGTTTGAGGTGCAGGTTTGAGGTGCAGGTTTGACGTGCAGGTTTGAGGTGCAGGTTTGAGGTGCAGGTTTGAGGTGCCGGTTTGAGGTGCAGGTTTGAGGTGCAGGTTTGACGTGCAGGTTTGAGGTCCAGGTTTGAGGTGCAGGTTTGAGGTGCAGGTTTGACGTGCAGGTTTGAGGTGCAGGTTGGAGGTGCAGGTTTGAGGTGCAGGTTTGAGGTGCAGGTTGGAGGTGCAGGTTGGAGGTGCAGGTTTGAGGTGCAGGTTGGAGGTGCAGGTTTGAGGTGCAGGTTGGAGGTGCAGGTTGGAGGTCCAGGTTTGAGGTGCAGGTTGGAGGTGCAGGTTTGAGGTGCAGGTTGGAGGTGCAGGTTGGAGGTCCAGGTTTGAGGTGCAGGTTGGAGGTGCAGGTTTGAGGTGCAGGTTGGAGGTGCAGGTTGGAGGTGCAGGTTTGAGGTGCAGGTTGGAGGTGCAGGTTTGAGGTGCAGGTTGGAGGTGCAGGTTGGAGGTGCAGGTTTGAGGTGCAGGTTGGAGGTGCAGGTTTGAGGTGCAGGTTTGAGGTGCAGGTTTGAGGTGCAGGTTTGAGGTGCAGGTTTGAGGTGCAGGTTTGAGGTGCAGGTTTGACGAGCAGGTTTGAGGTGCAGGTTTGAGGTGCAGGTTTGAGGTGCAGGTTTGACGTGCAGGTTTGAGGTGCAGGTTTGAGGTGCAGGTTTGAGGTGCCGGTTTGAGGTGCAGGTTTGAGGTGCAGGTTTGAGGTGCAGGTTTGACGTGCAGGTTTGTGGTGCAGGTTTGAGGTGCAGGTTTGAGGTGCAGGTTTGAGGTGCAGGTTTGGATGCGGGTGGTATTGTCCTTCCACCCAACTTCAACCCGACAAAACGCAATTTATCTTAAGAAGAAAACGAAGGATGATTGGACTGAACTAGGTTGCGTAGACCTCCTAGAAACAACAAAAAAAAATGGTACTACTTCTCAGATCTGGAAAGGAGGAAAACCAGATCTGAATTTTTGAAAATTCTGGCATTTGTACCCCACCTCTGGTGGGACATTTGACGCGTGAGTTTGTTTAAGACTCGCATACGATACATAAATCCCGCGAGTCTAAAAAAATCCGAGTTTTTTCATGAGTTTTTTGTACCTCGGAAGTAAAACTCGACTCGGCCGAGTTTTTTTGCCAACACGAACTTGAAACTCAAGCTTTTTGAGTCCCTCAAACGAGTCGAGGAAAAACTAGACTCGTTTTCCCATGTACCCGACAGAGTAGGGCGAGGTAGGGAAAACCAGGAAAAGGAAAGGCAAGGGAAAGCAGGGGACGAAAACAGAGGGGAATGGCAAGGAAAGGCAGGACAGGAAGGGAAGGGAAGGCAAGGATGGGATGGAAAAGGCTGGGAAAGGCAGGGCAGGAAGTGAAGGGAAGCAAAGGGAGGGAAGGGCACGTACGGAGGCAGATGATAGGCGAGCGCGCTGTGACTGGCTCTCCGATCAGACCTGCTCAGTGGTACAGAGATGCGGTGATGAGGAGTGGGATGAGGTGACAAGGGGTAACTGACAAGGGGTTGTTGAGACGAGAAATGCATGCAGAAACCCGATGCAGTGGGATGAGGGACGAATGACCTGGATGGAACCACCTGGAACCACATGAAATTATTTGAAGGCGAGCGGTGTGTAGCGCAGCAGCACACAGCACCAGCAGCACAACCCATGTGTATGCTGTGCATCACCTGAGGAGGCGACTGGCGTGTAGCGCAGCAGCAGGTAGCAGCCCACATCGTCCGCCTGCACTGCGTACTCTCTGCCCTCGCCCACTGGCACTAGTCTGAGGAGGGGAAAGGAGAGAGGGTGGTGGGAAGAGTGGATGGAGAGGGTTGCACCTCACCAAACAACACCACACCCCCTCACACCACTCATACCACCCCAGCACCACCCATAACACCCCAGCACCACCCATAACACCCCAGCACCGCCCACGCCCCACTCACTCACCGCAAACGACCACTGTTGCTACCAGCACCGGCCGCACTCCTTCCGTCTTCCCCCTCCTCCAACCCCCCCTCCGCCTTCCCCCCCTCCTCCCGGAACCACTGCAGCAAACTCGCCCCCTCTGCTCCCCCAAAATAAGTTCCCCTCGCCCGCAGCACTCCCCCCAGCAGCGCCTCCCCCTCCACTGCCACCTGCTGCACCTGGGGGGGCGCTGGATGGGGGGAGGGGGAAGGGCGTGGAGGGAAACGGGGGGGAAGCATGGGGGGAAGCATGGGGAGAGAGTGAGCCCGCATAGGTATAGCATCACCTGCAGCACTCCCCCCAGCAGCGCCTCCCCCTCCACCACCACCTGCTGCACCTGGGGGGGCGCTGGGGAAAGAAGGAAGAGAGGGAGGGGGAAGGGGAAGGAGATGAGCCGGCATAAATAAGCATAGACTCGCCCGCAGCGCTCCCCCCAGCAGTGCTTCCCCCTCCACCGCCACCTGCTGCACCTGGGGGGGCGCTGGAGGGGGGAGGGGGAAGGGCGTGGGGGGAAGCGTGGAGGGAAGCATGGGGGGAAGCATGGGGATAAGAGTGGGGCGAAAGTGAGCTATCATAGGCATAAGATCCCCCAGCAGCACCCCTCTGCGCCCACTCGCACCAAGCAGCCACTCTCACCAAGCAGCCACTCTCACCAGCAGCAATGGGGGGAGAGGTGGCAGAGGCGGGTTCCCCCCTCACCCCTGCAGCAGACACCGGGGTGAAGGAGAGCTGCAGCACACACCCACCGCTCCCCACCCCTCTGCACCCATTCTCACCGGCAGCAATGGGGGGAGAGGTGGCGGAGGCGGGTTCCCCCCTCACCCCTGCAGCAGACACCGGGGTGAAGGCGAGCTGCAGCACACACCCCACGTCGTGCAGTGAGAGGGAGTACTCCTCCCCACCCCTCTGCACCTCCTCCCTTGTTGTCCCGCCCTGAGCTGTGGGTGCCAAGCGGGTCCAGCTGACAGGTGGGGGGTGGGGATGGGAGGAGGGGTGTAGAGAAGGAGGAAGAGGAGGCGTTGGTTTGGGAGGGACAGGGGAGGGGGCGAGAACAAGCGCAGGGTAAGGTTGGGTGGGTGGGTAGGGAAAGTGCAACGAAGGAGAAAAAGCCTAGGGGAGGGGCAACCGAGAGGGAGAATCTTGAAGCATCTTGGAGGTTTTACTGCACTGCACTGTCCTAGCTAGCACCTGTACTGGCACGGCCCCCCTCCCACCTGTACTGGGGATCTGTGCTCATGAAGAAGGGCAGCAGTAGGCAAGGTCGCCTTTAGCAAAGGGATGATAGTCAACCAGTGAAAAAAGTAACCGTCGAAAAAATTGATTAAGATCCGAACGTACAACTCAGTTCAAACTCTAGACGAAAGCAAACATGTTTCGGCTTTGCACGGGGATCATACCCGCTAGGCCTTCATCAGTGCAAGAGTTCAAAGTGAAAGAGCGAACAAGCAAGGGGTCTTAAAGAACACCCAAGCCTCGAGATCTACACAGGGAAATCCTACCCCGGGCGCGTAACTAGATAAGAAATGCGCCAACTAGACACAAAAGAAAATTCCTAGGTGTCCAGTCACTCTTCGGGTTTGTCTTCGGCAGTCTTGGAATTGGGTGGTGGTAACCTCGCGCGAACCAGGCACTGTTGCACGTTACGTGCACACTTCCAAGCAACAAGAATTCGATCAATATAAAAATTGCGGGTAGAGAGACGACTTTTGAGGCGCCTCAAAAGGGGCAACCGAGAGGGAGAATCTTGAAGCATCTTGGAGGTTTTACTGCACTGCACTGTCCTAGCTAGCACCTGTACTGGCACGGCCCCCCTCCCACCTGTACTGGCACGGCCCTGGCTCACCCGAGCTCCACCCCACCTCCACCATGGCTGTCAGCAGCACACCGCCCTCACACCTGTAATGACCTATGCTTATGGAAAGGCGCATCAATGGGTATGGCCTCTCCTTCTCACCTGTCATGGCACGGCCCTGGCTCGCCTGAGCTCCACCCCACCTCCACCATGGCTGTCAGCACACCGCCCTCACACCCCTAAAGATCTGTGCTCAATACTCCACCATGGCAGTCAAAGGCTGGGTATCCTCTCTATCACTCGCACCTGTACTGGCATGGGCAACCCTTTCCCTCCTTCTCACCTGTACTGGCACGGCCCTGGCTCGCCCGAGCTCCACCCCACCTCCACCATGGCAGTCAGCACGCCCCCCTCCACCGCCTCCCCTCCCAGCGACACATGGTGCACTCGTGGTATGCCCGGGCCTGCATGCATGCACACACACACATGCATTCATGCAAGATAAACACACATCAGCTGAGATGAGAACACACACACACACACAGTCTCCTCGCCAAGCCCCCCTCCACCGCCTCCCAGCGACACATGGTGCACTCGTGGTATGCCGGGACCTCTGTGGGAGCATAATGAAGGGAGGCAGTCAGTCATGAGAGATTCAAACACACATGTGCACACCCATACGTAGGCTCCACCACCTCCCCTCCCAGCGACATGTGCTGCACTCGAGGGATGCCGGGACCTGTGTGGGGGCATGGTTGCATGGAGGCCGTCAGGCGTGAGAGGTTCAAACACAGATGCGCAAGCACAAACACACAAATACACATACAGCAGCAGTCAGCACACCCCCCTCCACCGCCTCCCCTCCCATAGGTGACGCTCATGGACATGGTGACCCGCTCATGGTGACCCGCTCATGGTCACCTGCTCATCCCAGCGACACATGCTGCACTCGCGGAATGCCGGGACCTGTGTGCAGGAATGCATGTGCATGGGACCATGGATGCATGGTGCATAAGTGCATGGGTGCATGGGTGAGGTGAGGGGTATTCACCTACCAGGGGCCACTGGCGGCGTGGTGAGCGTAAGGGGCGTGCAGGGCTGGCCGTGGAGCAGCGGGGTGCAGCGCACAGCGAGACACGCATGCAAGCCTGAGAAAACACAACCCCTGGGAGTGGGAGAGGGGACCTACCAGGGGCGACTGGTGGCGTGGTCGTGCAGGGCTGGGCGTGGAGCAGCGGGGTGTAGCGCACAGCGAGACACCACACGACCTCACAGCATGGCACATACATACACCGGTCGTCTCTGGTGTTGAATTGGGAACATACCAGGGATGACTGGCGGCGTGGTGAGGAGGAGTGGCGTGCAGGGCTGGCCGTGGTAGTGGGAACACACACCTCCTCATGGGAGTGGGTGGGAGTGGGAACGTACCAGGGGCGACTGGTGGAGAGGTGAGGAGGAGTGGCGTGCAGGGGTGGCCGTGGAGCAGCGGGGTGTAGCGCACAGCGAGACACGCATGCACGTCTGAGAAAACACAACCCCTGGGAGTGGGAGAGGGGACCTACCAGGGGCGACTGGTGGCGTGGTGAGGATAAGGGGCGTGCAGGGCTGGCCGTGGAGCAGCGGGGTGCAGCGCACAGCGAGACACGCATGCACGTCTGAGAAGGAGGGCGTGTAGACCTGGTGAGATGGGCGACAGGGTGGTGGGATGGAGGGACGGGTGAGGGAGGGACGGGTGTGGGAAGGACGGACGGTGAGTGACACGCGCACGTCTGAGAAGGAGGGCGTGTACATCTGGTGGGATGAGATGAGAGAGGGTGGACAGTAAGCTTATTGAGAAATACGACAAGGCATGGAGGCAAAAGGTGCACCGCACAGCAAGGCATGCATGCACATCTGAGAAGGGGTGTGTGTAGTGAGATGGGTTGGGATTTGATGAATGTTGTGGGCCAAGGCCAGTGTAGTGTAGCAGTGGTTGTGATGAGCAGGATATAGCAATGGCTATGGTGGCCCAAAGGGTAGTGTAGGCAGTGGCGAAAGAGAACACATGGCCCTCCCACTTTCTTATCGCCCTGAAATTTTTCAAAGATGCCTCCTCACCTCCCCCTCAGCATCGGGAATGGCGCTGAACTCCGCAGCCCCTTTGCCCCGCCGCAGCCACTCATACCGCATCGCCACACCCGATGACACTGATGATTCCTCCTCCCCTCCCTCCCTCTCCTTTCCCCTCTCCCTTGGCCCAACTCCCTCCTCTCTCTCTTCAACTCCCACATCCTCACCCACAACCTCCTCCCTATCTGGTCCCCCATCCTTCCCCCCATCCTGCCCCCCATCTTTCACCCCATCCTCGCCCCAATCCTCCTCCCCATCCTCCCTCGCCCGTGCACCACCACCAGTGCGCTGCAGCAGCAGGCGGCAGTGGCAGGGGCGGTCCTCTATGGGCCGGTCGAGCAGCAGCGACGAGAGGGTGAAGCCGGCAGGAAGCGTTGATGCCCAGTGGGTGGCGAGAAAGGTCACCAGGGAGGCTGGGAGGACAGGGGGAGGTGGGGGGGAACGGAGACACAGGGCAGGCACACACAGTTGAGGGATTGAAAAGGTATGGGGCGGTCCAGCAGCAGCGAGGCAAAGGGTGTAGCCGGCAGGGAGCATGGGTGCCCAGTGGGCCGCCAGGAAAGACACCAGGGAGGCTGGGGAAGTGGGGAGAGGGAAGAAGGGAGGAGGGAACGAGGGAGAGGGGAAGAGGGAATGGGGAGTGGGAAGGTGAGAGACGAGAGGGGGGAGGGGGGGAGGGGGGCCAGATGAATGTGAGGGCAGGGACACTGGTAGGAACAGGTGGAGGTGCAGGGGCAAGGGGAGGGGCAGGGGTGGGTGAGGAGCAGAGGAAGAGGTGGTAGCCATCCCATGCGCACACACATGGGCCCGGTTTTGAGTCGACTCAAAACTCGACTCATTACACGAGGGGCAGGGGTGGGTGAGGTGAGGAGCAGAGGAAGAGGTGGTGGTAGCCATCCCATGCGCACACACATGGGCCCGTGCCCTCCCCCCACACATGTGGGCACCTGTAGCAAGCAATTGCTGTGAGGAGCAGAGGCATAGGTGGTACCTACCTGGTATGACATCAATTAGAGGGGACGGCGGCGGCCACCCCATGCACACACATGGGCCCGTGCCCTCCCCTCCCAACCCCACCTTGTGAGCCTGCAAGCGCCATTCACCCACCACAGGTGGTACCTGGTATGTCGCTAATGGAAGGGGACGGAGGCAGCCATCCCATGCGCACACACATGGGCCCGTGCCCTCCCCCCGCTTCTTCCACTGCTAAACGCTCATCATCACTTATAGCTGCTCACACACACATGCATGCATGCATGCGCGTGCGCACATCCACGGGTAAACACACAGAGACATGCACGCATGCACGCACACACACAGGCACACAGAAGCGCACACATGCAGAGGCGCGCACACATGCAGAGGCGCACACACATGCAGAGGCGCGCACACATGCAGAGGCGCGCACACATGCAGAGGCGCGCACACATGCAGAGGTGCGCACGCGCAAACATGAAGCACAAGCTGCTGCATTGATGTCTGAGAATAAATACAAGGAGGGGAGGGATACAAGACAAGGAAGGTGAGGAGAGCAGGGAGGAGGATGTTTTTGAGAATTCTCAAAAACACCCTGCAGGATGAGGAGAGCAGGGAGGAGGATGTTTTTGAGAATTCTCAAAAACACCCTGCAGGATGAGGAGAGCAGGGAGGAGGAGGAGGCACCTGAGGAGTTGAAGGAGAGAAGAGAGGAGGCGGCGAGCAGAATGGCAGCCAAGTGCGGAGCAGGGGCGTCCTCTATTGGGTTGTCGTCCAGACGCAGGTGCTGAAGGGGGGTAAAGAGGGAAAGGGTGAAGGAGAACAAGGCTGAGGCCCCTCACTGTTCTCCTCGACTAGGAGAGCAGGGGCGTCCTCTATGGGGTTGTCATCCAGTCGCAGGTGCTGTTAGTTGGTGGGGGGGGGAGAGGGAGGTAGAAGAGGAAGGTTCGCTGGCTCTGCCCCTCACAATTATCCCTTATGGAGGGAGCAGGGACGTCCTCTATTGGGTTGTCATCCAGACGCAGGTGCTGTTAGTTGGGCGCAGGAGAAGGGGGAAAGGGAGGGAGCGAAGGAGAGGCTTATTGGCGCTGCCCCTCTCAGCTACCCTCTATGGGGGGAGCAGGGGCGTCCTCTAGGGGGTGGAGAGTTGCATGGCACGGAGCAAAGAGCACAAAGGGCATGGAACACGGGTACATGGAGCATGGGGCACAGGGCTCAGAGGGCATGGCACTCGGAGCATGGATAGGTAGGCGGGCAAGGTGGGGCAGGGGCCTCTAGGGCGGGTAAGAAGGGCAAGGTGGGTCAAGGTGGGAAAAAGGTGGGTCAAGGTGGGGAAAGGTGGGTCAAGGTGGGGAAAGGTGGGTCAAGGTGGGGCAAGGTGGGGCAAGGTGGGGCAAGGTGGGGCAAGGTGGGGCAAGGTGGGGCAAGGTGGGGCAAGGTGGGGCAAGGTGGGGCACGGACCTCCAGAGCGGGCAGGAGGGGGAAGGATTCGAAGGAGGCGATGCTGTTGCTGCTGGCTGTGACCACCTGGAGGGGGCAGATTGTGTGTGGGCAAAGAGAGGCAGAAGAAAGAGGCGCATTGGCAGAGAGATGGTTTCAGAGGGCTCTCAAAATCCGACTAGATTCGAAGGAGGCGATGCTGTTGCTACTGGCTGTGAGCACCTGGTGGAAAAGAGAGGAGCAGATTAGAAAACAGAGAGAGGGGCAGATTGGAAAGCAGAGAGAGGGGCGGATTGGAAAACAGAGAGAGGGGCAGATTGGAAAGCAGAGAGAGGGGCGGATTGGAAAACAGAGAGAGGGGCAAATTGGAAAGCAGAGAGAGGGGCGGATTGGAAAACAGAGAGAGGGGCAGATTGGAAAACAGAGAGAGGGGCAGATTGGAAAACAGAGAGACAGGAAGATTGGTGGCAGGAGAGGAACTGGCGGGTGCAGTAGGGAGGGGGGTGTGTTTGTGCTATGCTCGGTTCAGCTCGGTTGAGACAGGTTGTGGATGCGCACCTTGAGGCGGGGTTGGGACGGCATGTCAATGAGACAGAGCGAATTCTGAGACACTGAGAGAAACTGAGGGGTGTAGTGGGTAGAGGGGTGGGTGGGTGACGGGAGGGTGGATGGGTGACAGGGTGGGTGGGAGAACGGACGGGGGAAAGCATGGGGTGGAGTAAGGAAAGAGAGGGAACAGAGGTGAAGAGGGGTTGGGTTGGGGTGGGAGGAGAGAGAAGCAGCTGAGGGTAGGAGAGAGGGGGATGGGGAGGGGAGAGAGAAACAGTGTGCATGGCAACGGTTGCATTGGATGGAACGAGTGTGAAGCAGGAGGCACGAAGGTAAGGAGAACGTGGGCATGGCATGGGAAAGAGCAGGCATGGCATGGGCATGGCGTGGGAGTAGCGTGGGAGTAGCGTGGGAGTAGCGTGGGAGTAGCGTGGGAGTAGCGTGGGAGTAGCGTGGGAGTAGTATGGGCATGGCGTGGGTGTGGCGTGGGTGTGGCGTGCGTGTAGTGTGGGTGTGGCGTGGGCATGGGAAAATAGCAGGACCCATGCCTCGAGGGAGGGGAGTCGAGGCAGTGATGCGAGGGAGGAGATGTGGTTACCCGCCAGGAACAGTTGCTGTGGTGGGGAGAAGGGAGGGGGAGATGGGGGGAAAGGAGCAACTTTTCAGTCAACTCAAAAGAGATGTGAGGGAGGAGATGTGGTTGCCCGCTAGGAATAGTTGCTGGGGGAAAGGGGGAGGGGGAGAAAGTGGGAGAAAGGGGGAAAGGAGACGGACTTCTGAGCTGACTCAAAAGAGATACGAGGGAGGCGATGTGGTTGCCCGCCCAGGAATCCTTGCTGTGGGAAAGGGGGAGAGGGTTCGGAGAGAAGGAGAGGGGCAGGGGAAGAAGCATTTGTCACAGTGGTGAGCGTGAGTGTTGAACACAGCACCGCCCGCTCATACGCTGCACCGACCGCTCATACGCTGCACCACCTGCACCGCGTGTCCCAGCTTCGGGACTGGAGCTGCAGTCCCAGATTGGGGACTGGAGGTGCAGTCCTGGCTTGGGGACTGGAGCTGCAGTCCCGGCTTGGGGACTGGAGCTCCAGTCCCGGCGTGGGGACTGGAGCTGCAGTCCCGGCTTGCGGACTGGAGCTGCAGTCCCAGCGTGGAGACTGGAGGTGCAGTCCCAGCGTGGGGACTGGAGGTGCAGTCGCGGCTTGGGGACTGGAGCTGCAGTCCCGGCGTGGGGACTGGAGCTGCAGTCCCGGCGTGGGGACTGGAGCTGCAGTCGCGGCTTGGGGACTGGAGCTGCAGTCCCGGAGTGGGGACTGGAGCTGCAGTCCCGGCGTGGGGACTGGAGCTGCAGTCCCGGCGTGGGGACTGGAGCTGCAGTCCCGGCTTGGGGACAGGAGCTGCAGTCCCGGCGTGGGGACTGGAGCTGCAGTCCCGGCGTGGGGACTGGAGCTGCAGTCCCGGCGTGGGGACTGGAGCTGCAGTCCTGGCGTGGGGACTGGAGCTGCAGTCCCGGCGTGGGGACTGGAGGTGCATGCAGTCCCGGCGTGGGGACTGGAGCTGCAGTCCCGGCTTGGCGACTGGAGCTGCAGTCCCGGCTTGCGGACTGGAGCTGCAGTCCCAGCGTGGGGACTGGAGGTGCAGTCCCAGCGTGGGGACTGGAGGTGCAGTCGCGGCTTGGGGACTGGAGCTGCAGTCCCGGCGTGGGGACTGGAGCTGCAGTCCCGGCGTGGGGACTGGAGCTGCAGTCGCGGCTTGGGGACTGGAGCTGCAGTCCCGGAGTGGGGACTGGAGCTGCAGTCCCGGCGTGGGGACTGGAGCTGCAGTCCCGGCGTGGGGACTGGAGCTGCAGTCCCGGCTTGGGGACAGGAGCTGCAGTCCCGGCGTGGGGACTGGAGCTGCAGTCCCGGCGTGGGGACTGGAGCTGCAGTCCCGGCGTGGGGACTGGAGCTGCAGTCCTGGCGTGGGGACTGGAGCTGCAGTCCCGGCGTGGGGACTGGAGGTGCATGCAGTCCCGGCGTGGGGACTGGAGCTGCAGTCCCGGCTTGGGGACTGGAGCTGCAGTCCCGGCTTGGGGACTGGAGCTGCAGTCCCGGCTTGGGGACTGGAGCTGCAGTCCCGGCATGGGGACTGGAGCTGCAGTCCCGGCGTGGGGACTGGAGCTGCAGTCCCGGCGTGGGGACTGGAGCTGCAGTCGCGGCTTGGGGACTGGAGCTGCAGTCCCGGAGTGGGGACTGGAGCTGCAGTCCCGGCGTGGGGACTGGAGCTGCAGTCCCGGCGTGGGGACTGGAGCTGCAGTCCCGGCTTGGGGACAGGAGCTGCAGTCCCGGCGTGGGGACTGGAGCTGCAGTCCCGGCGTGGGGACTGGAGCTGCAGTCCCGGCGTGAGGACTGGAGCTGCAGTCCCGGCGTGGGGACTGGAGCTGCAGTCCCGGCGTGGGGACTGGAGCTGCAGTCCCGGCGTGGGGACTGGAGCTACAGTCCCGGCGTGGGGACTGGAGCTGCAGTCCCGGCGTGGGGACTGGAGCTGCAGTCCCGGCGTGGGGACTGGAGCTGCAGTCCTGGCGTGGGGACTGGAGCTGCAGTCCCGGCTTGGGGACTGGGGCTGCAGTCCCAGCGTGGGGACTGGAGCCGCAGTCCCGGCTTGGGGACTGGAGCTGCAATCCCGGCTTGGGGACTGGAGCTGCAGTCCCGGCGTGGGGACTGGAGCTGCAGTCCCGGCGTGGGGACTGGAGCTGCAGTCCCGGCGTGGGGACTGGAGCTGCAGTCCCAGCGTGGGGACTGGAGGTGCAGTCCCGGCTTGGGGACTGGAGCTGCAGTCCCGGCTTGGGGACTGGAGCTGCAGTCCCGGCTTGGGGACTGGAGCTGCAGTCCCGGCTTGGGGACTGGAGCTGCAGTCCCGGCGTGGGGACTGGAGCTGCAGTCCCGGCGTGGGGACTGGAGCTGCAGTCCCGGCGTGGGGACTGGAGCTGCAGTCCCGGCGTGGGGACTGGAGCTGCAGTCCCGGCTTGGGGACTGGAGCTGCAATCCCGGCTTGGGGACTGGAGCTGCAGTCCCGGCGTGGGGACTGGAGCTGCAGTCCCGGCGTGGGGACTGGAGCTGCAGTCCCGGCGTGGGGACTGGAGCTGCAGACCCAGCGTGGGAACTGGAGGTGCAGTCCCGGCTTGGGGACTGGAGCTGCAGTCCTGGCTTGGGGACTACAGCTGCAGTACTGGCGTGGGGACTGGAGCTGCAGTCCCGGCGTGGGGACTGGAGCTGCAGTCCCGGCGTGGGGACTGGAGCTGCAGTCCCGGCTTGGGGACTGGAGCTGCAGTCCCGGCGTGGGGACTGGAGCTGCAGTCCCGGCTTGGGGACTGGAGCTGCAGTCCCGGCGTGGGGACTGGAGGTGCATGCAGTCCCGGCGTGGGGACTGGAGCTGCAGTCCCGGCTTGGGGACTGGAGCTGCAGTCCCGGCTTGGGGACTGGAGCTGCAGTCCCGGCGTGGGGACTGGAGCTGCAGTCCCGGCGTGGGGACTGGAGGTGCATGCAGTCCCAGCGTGGGGACTGGAGGTGCAGTCCCAGCGTGGGGACTGGAGGTGCAGTCGCGGCTTGGGGACTGGAGCTGCAGTCCCGGCGTGGGGACTGGAGCTGCAGTCCCGGCGTGGGGACTGGAGCTGCAGTCGCGGCTTGGGGACTGGAGCTGCAGTCCCGGAGTGGGGACTGGAGCTGCAGTCCCGGCGTGGGGACTGGAGCTGCAGTCCCGGCGTGGGGACTGGAGCTGCAGTCCCGGCTTGGGGACAGGAGCTGCAGTCCCGGCGTGGGGACTGGAGCTGCAGTCCCGGCGTGGGGACTGGAGCTGCAGTCCCGGCGTGGGGACTGGAGCTGCAGTCCCGGCGTGGGGACTGGAGCTGCAGTCCCGGCGTGGGGACTGGAGGTGCATGCAGTCCCGGCGTGGGGACTGGAGCTGCAGTCCCGGCTTGGGGACTGGAGCTGCAGTCCCGGCTTGCGGACTGGAGCTGCAGTCCCAGCGTGGGGACTGGAGGTGCAGTCCCAGCGTGGGGACTGGAGGTGCAGTCGCGGCTTGGGGACTGGAGCTGCAGTCCCGGCGTGGGGACTGGAGCTGCAGTCCCGGCGTGGGGACTGGAGCTGCAGTCGCGGCTTGGGGACTGGAGCTGCAGTCCCGGAGTGGGGACTGGAGCTGCAGTCCCGGCGTGGGGACTGGAGCTGCAGTCCCGGCGTGGGGACTGGAGCTGCAGTCCCGGCTTGGGGACAGGAGCTGCAGTCCCGGCGTGGGGACTGGAGCTGCAGTCCCGGCGTGGGGACTGGAGCTGCAGTCCCGGCGTGGGGACTGGAGCTGCAGTCCTGGCGTGGGGACTGGAGCTGCAGTCCCGGCGTGGGGACTGGAGGTGCATGCAGTCCCGGCGTGGGGACTGGAGCTGCAGTCCCGGCTTGGGGACTGGAGCTGCATTCCCGGCTTGGGGACTGGAGCTGCAGTCCCGGCTTGGGGACTGGAGCTGCAGTCCCGGCATGGGGACTGGAGCTGCAGTCCCGGCGTGGGGACTGGAGCTGCAGTCCCGGCGTGGGGACTGGAGCTGCAGTCGCGGCTTGGGGACTGGAGCTGCAGTCCCGGAGTGGGGACTGGAGCTGCAGTCCCGGCGTGGGGACTGGAGCTGCAGTCCCGGCGTGGGGACTGGAGCTGCAGTCCCGGCTTGGGGACAGGAGCTGCAGTCCCGGCGTGGGGACTGGAGCTGCAGTCCCGGCGTGGGGACTGGAGCTGCAGTCCCGGCGTGAGGACTGGAGCTGCAGTCCCGGCGTGGGGACTGGAGCTGCAGTCCCGGCGTGGGGACTGGAGCTGCAGTCCCGGCGTGGGGACTGGAGCTACAGTCCCGGCGTGGGGACTGGAGCTGCAGTCCCGGCGTGGGGACTGGAGCTGCAGTCCCGGCGTGGGGACTGGAGCTGCAGTCCCGGCGTGGGGACTGGAGCTGCAGTCCTGGCGTGGGGACTGGAGCTGCAGTCCCGGCTTGGGGACTGGGGCTGCAGTCCAGCGTGGGGACTGGAGCCGCAGTCCCGGCTTGGGGACTGGAGCTGCAATCCCGGCTTGGGGACTGGAGCTGCAGTCCCGGCGTGGGGACTGGAGCTGCAGTCCTGGCGTGGGGACTGGAGCTGCAGTCCCGGCGTGGGGACTGGAGCTGCAGTCCCAGCGTGGGGACTGGAGGTGCAGTCCCGGCTTGGGGACTGGAGCTGCAGTCCCGGCTTGGGGACTGGAGCTGCAGTCCCGGCTTGGGGACTGGAGCTGCAATCCCGGCTTGGGGACTGGAGCTGCAGTCCCGGCGTGGGGACTGGAGCTGCAGTCCTGGCGTGGGGACTGGAGCTGCAGTCCCGGCGTGGGGACTGGAGATGTAGTCCCGGCTTGGGGACTGGAGCTGCAGTCCCGGCTTGGGGACTGGAGCTGCAGTCCCGGCTTGGGGACTGGAGCTGCAATCCCGGCTTGGGGACTGGAGCTGCAGTCCCGGCGTGGGGACTGGAGCTGCAGTCCCGGCGTGGGGACTGGAGCTGCAGTCCCAGCGTGGGAACTGGAGGTGCAGTCCCGGCTTGGGGACTGGAGCTGCAGTCCTGGCTTGGGGACTAGAGCTGCAGTACTGGCGTGGGGACTGGAGCTGCAGTCCCGGCGTGGGGACTGGAGCTGCAGTCCCGGCGTGGGGACTGGAGCTGCAGTCCCGGCTTGGGGACTGGAGCTGCAGTCCCGGCGTGGGGACTGGAGCTGCAGTCCCGGCTTGGGGACTGGAGCTGCAGTCCCGGCGTGGGGACTGGAGGTGCATGCAGTCCCGGCGTGGGGACTGGAGCTGCAGTCCCGGCTTGGGGACTGGAGCTGCAGTCCCGGCTTGGGGACTGGAGCTGCAGTCCCGGCGTGGGGACTGGAGCTGCAGTCCCGGCGTGGGGACTGGAGCTGCAGTCCCGGCGTGGGGACTGGAGCTGCAGTCCCGGCGTGGGGACTGGAGCTGCAGTCCCGGCTTGGGGACTGGAGCTGCAGTCCCGGCTTGGGGACTGGAGCTGCAGTCCCGGCATGGGGACTGGAGCTGCAGTCCCGGCTTGGGGACTGGAGCTGCAGTCCCGGCGTGGGGACTGGAGCTGCAGTCCCGGCGTGGGGACTGGAGCTGCAGTCCTGGCTTGGGGACTGGGGCTGCAGTCCTGGCTTGGGGACTAGAGCTGCAGTACTGGCGTGGGGACTGGAGCTGCAGTCCCGGCATGGGGACTGGAGCTGCAGTCCCGGCGTGGGGACTGGAGCTGCAGTCCCGGCGTGGGGACTGGAGGCGCATGCAGTCCCGGCGTGGGGACTGGAGCTGCAGTCCCGGCGTGGGGACTGGAGCTGCAGTTCCGGCGTGGGGACTGGAGCTGCAGTCCCGGTGTGGGGACTGGAGCTGCAGTCCCGGCGTGGGGACTGGAGGTGCATGCAGTCCCGGCGTGGGGACTGGAGCTGCAGTCCCGGCGTGGGGACTGGAGCTGCAGTCCCGGCGTGGGGACTGGAGCTGCAGTCCCGGCTTGGGGACTGGAGCTGCAGTCCCGGCGTGGGGACTGGAGCTGCAGTCCTGGCGTGGGGACTGGAGCTGCAGTCCCGGCGTGGGGACTGGAGCTGCAGTCCCGGCGTGGGGACTGGAGCTGCAGTCCCGGCTTGGGGACTGGAGCTGCAGTCCCGGCGTGGGGACTGGAGCTGCAGTCCTGGCGTGGGGACTGGAGCTGCAGTCCCGGCGTGGGGACTGGAGCTGCAGTCCCGGCTTGGGGACTGGAGCTGCAGTCCCGGCTTGGGGACTGGAGCTGCAGTCCCGGCATGGGGACTGGAGCTGCAGTCCCGGCTTGGGGACTGGAGCTGCAGTCCCGGCGTGGGGACTGGAGCTGCAGTCCCGGCGTGGGGACTGGAGCTGCAGTCCCGGCTTGGGGACTGGAGCTGCAGTCCCGGCGTGGGGACTGGAGCTGCAGTCCCGGCGTGGGGACTGGAGCTGCAGTCCCGGCGTGGGGACTGGAGCTGCAGTCCCGGCTTGGGGACTGGAGCTGCAGTCCCGGCTTGGGGACTGGAGCTGCAGTCCCGGCTTGGGGACTGGAGCTGCAGTCCCGGCGTGGGGACTGGAGCTGCAGTCCCGGCGTGGGGACTGGAGCTGCAGTCCCGGCGTGGGGACTGGAGCTGCAGTCCCGGCGTGGGGACTGGAGCTGCAGTCCCGGCGTGGGGACTGGAGCTGCAGTCCCGGCGTGGGAACTGGAGGTGCAGTCCCGGCTTGGGGACTGGAGCTGCAGTCCTGGCTTGGGGACTAGAGCTGCAGTACTGGCGTGGGGACTGGAGCTGCAGTCCCGGCGTGGGGACTGGAGCTGCAGTCCCGGCGTGGGGACTGGAGCTGCAGTCCCGGCTTGGGGACTGGAGCTGCAGTCCCGGCGTGGGGACTGGAGCTGCAGTCCCGGCTTGGGGACTGGAGCTGCAGTCCCGGCGTGGGGACTGGAGGTGCATGCAGTCCCGGCGTGGGGACTGGAGCTGCAGTCCCGGCTTGGGGACTGGAGCTGCAGTCCCGGCTTGGGGACTGGAGCTGCAGTCCCGGCGTGGGGACTGGAGCTGCAGTCCCGGCGTGGGGACTGGAGCTGCAGTCCCGGCTTGGGGACTGGAGCTGCAGTCCCGGCGTGGGGACTGGAGCTGCAGTCCTGGCGTGGGGACTGGAGCTGCAGTCCCGGCGTGGGGACTGGAGCTGCAGTCCCGGCTTGGGGACTGGAGCTGCAGTCCCGGCTTGGGGACTGGAGCTGCAGTCCCGGCATGGGGACTGGAGCTGCAGTCCCGGCTTGGGGACTGGAGCTGCAGTCCCGGCGTGGGGACTGGAGCTGCAGTCCCGGCGTGGGGACTGGAGCTGCAGTCCCGGCTTGGGGACTGGAGCTGCAGTCCCGGCGTGGGGACTGGAGCTGCAGTCCCGGCGTGGGGACTGGAGCTGCAGTCCCGGCGTGGGGACTGGAGGCGCATGCAGTCCCGGCGTGGGGACTGGAGCTGCAGTCCCGGCGTGGGGACTGGAGCTGCAGTCCCGGCGTGGGGACTGGAGCTGCAGTCCCGGTGTGGGGACTGGAGCTGCAGTCCCGGCGTGGGGACTGGAGGTGCATGCAGTCCCGGCGTGGGGACTGGAGCTGCAGTCCCGGCGTGGGGACTGGAGCTGCAGTCCCGGCGTGGGGACTGGAGCTGCAGTCCCGGCTTGGGGACTGGAGCTGCAGTCCCGGCTTGGGGACTGGAGCTGCAGTCCCGGCGTGGGGACTGGAGCTGCAGTCCTGGCGTGGGGACTGGAGCTGCAGTCCCGGCGTGGGGACTGGAGCTGCAGTCCCGGCGTGGGGACTGGAGCTGCAGTCCCGGCTTGGGGACTGGAGCTGCAGTCCCGGCGTGGGGACTGGAGCTGCAGTCCTGGCGTGGGGACTGGAGCTGCAGTCCCGGCGTGGGGACTGGAGCTGCAGTCCCGGCTTGGGGACTGGAGCTGCAGTCCCGGCTTGGGGACTGGAGCTGCAGTCCCGGCATGGGGACTGGAGCTGCAGTCCCGGCTTGGGGACTGGAGCTGCAGTCCCGGCGTGGGGACTGGAGCTGCAGTCCCGGCGTGGGGACTGGAGCTGCAGTCCCGGCTTGGGGACTGGAGCTGCAGTCCCGGCGTGGGGACTGGAGCTGCAGTCCCGGCGTGGGGACTGGAGCTGCAGTCCCGGCGTGGGGACTGGAGCTGCAGTCCCGGCTTGGGGACTGGAGCTGCAGTCCCGGCTTGGGGACTGGAGCTGCAGTCCCGGCTTGGGGACTGGAGCTGCAGTCCCGGCGTGGGGACTGGAGCTGCAGTCCCGGCGTGGGGACTGGAGCTGCAGTCCCGGCGTGGGGACTGGAGCTGCAGTCCCGGCGTGGGGACTGGAGCTGCAGTCCCAGCGTGGGAACTGGAGGTGCAGTCCCGGCTTGGGGACTGGAGCTGCAGTCCTGGCTTGGGGACTGGAGCTGCAGTACTGGCGTGGGGACTAGAGCTGCAGTCCCGGCGTGGGGACTGGAGCTGCAGTCCCGGCGTGGGGACTGGAGCTGCAGTCCCGGCTTGGGGACTGGAGCTGCAGTCCCGGCGTGGGGACTGGAGCTGCAGTCCCGGCTTGGGGACTGGAGCTGCAGTCCCGGTGTGGGGACTGGAGCTGCAGTCCCGGCGTGGGGACTGGAGGTGCATGCAGTCCCGGCGTGGGGACTGGAGCTGCAGTCCCGGCGTGGGGACTGGAGCTGCAGTCCCGGCGTGGGGACTGGAGCTGCAGTCCCGGCTTGGGGACTGGAGCTGCAGTCCCGGCTTGGGGACTGGAGCTGCAGTCCCGGCGTGGGGACTGGAGCTGCAGTCCTGGCGTGGGGACTGGAGCTGCAGTCCCGGCGTGGGGACTGGAGCTGCAGTCCCGGCGTGGGGACTGGAGCTGCAGTCCCGGCTTGGGGACTGGAGCTGCAGTCCCGGCGTGGGGACTGGAGCTGCAGTCCTGGCGTGGGGACTGGAGCTGCAGTCCCGGCGTGGGGACTGGAGCTGCAGTCCCGGCTTGGGGACTGGAGCTGCAGTCCCGGCTTGGGGACTGGAGCTGCAGTCCCGGCATGGGGACTGGAGCTGCAGTCCCGGCTTGGGGACTGGAGCTGCAGTCCCGGCGTGGGGACTGGAGCTGCAGTCCCGGCGTGGGGACTGGAGCTGCAGTCCCGGCTTGGGGACTGGAGCTGCAGTCCCGGCGTGGGGACTGGAGCTGCAGTCCCGGCGTGGGGACTGGAGCTGCAGTCCCGGCGTGGGGACTGGAGCTGCAGTCCCGGCTTGGGGACTGGAGCTGCAGTCCCGGCTTGGGGACTGGAGCTGCAGTCCCGGCTTGGGGACTGGAGCTGCAGTCCCGGCGTGGGGACTGGAGCTGCAGTCCCGGCGTGGGGACTGGAGCTGCAGTCCCGGCGTGGGGACTGGAGCTGCAGTCCCGGCGTGGGGACTGGAGCTGCAGTCCCAGCGTGGGAACTGGAGGTGCAGTCCCGGCTTGGGGACTGGAGCTGCAGTCCTGGCTTGGGGACTGGAGCTGCAGTACTGGCGTGGGGACTAGAGCTGCAGTCCCGGCGTGGGGACTGGAACTGCAGTCCCGGCGTGGGGACTGGAGCTGCAGTCCCGGCTTGGGGACTGGAGCTGCAGTCCCGGCGTGGGGACTGGAGCTGCAGTCCCGGCTTGGGGACTGGAGCTGCAGTCCCGGCGTGGGGACTGGAGGTGCATGCAGTCCCGGCGTGGGGACTGGAGCTGCAGTCCCGGCTTGGGGACTGGAGCTGCAGTCCCGGCTTGGGGACTGGAGCTGCAGTCCCGGCGTGGGGACTGGAGCTGCAGTCCCGGCGTGGGGACTGGAGCTGCAGTCCCGGCGTGGGGACTGGAGCTGCAGTCCCGGCGTGGGGACTGGAGCTGCAGTCCCGGCTTGGGGACTGGAGCTGCAGTCCCGGCTTGGGGACTGGAGCTGCAGTCCCGGCATGGGGACTGGAGCTGCAGTCCCGGCTTGGGGACTGGAGCTGCAGTCCCGGCGTGGGGACTGGAGCTGCAGTCCCGGCGTGGGGACTGGAGCTGCAGTCCTGGCTTGGGGACTGGGGCTGCAGTCCTGGCTTGGGGACTAGAGCTGCAGTACTGGCGTGGGGACTGGAGCTGCAGTCCCGGCATGGGGACTGGAGCTGCAGTCCCGGCGTGGGGACTGGAGCTGCAGTCCCGGCGTGGGGACTGGAGGCGCATGCAGTCCCGGCGTGGGGACTGGAGCTGCAGTCCCGGCGTGGGGACTGGAGCTGCAGTCCCGGCGTGGGGACTGGAGCTGCAGTCCCGGTGTGGGGACTGGAGCTGCAGTCCCGGCGTGGGGACTGGAGGTGCATGCAGTCCCGGCGTGGGGACTGGAGCTGCAGTCCCGGCGTGGGGACTGGAGCTGCAGTCCCGGCGTGGGGACTGGAGCTGCAGTCCCGGCTTGGGGACTGGAGCTGCAGTCCCGGCTTGGGGACTGGAGCTGCAGTCCCGGCGTGGGGACTGGAGCTGCAGTCCTGGCGTGGGGACTGGAGCTGCAGTCCCGGCGTGGGGACTGGAGCTGCAGTCCCGGCGTGGGGACTGGAGCTGCAGTCCCGGCTTGGGGACTGGAGCTGCAGTCCCGGCGTGGGGACTGGAGCTGCAGTCCTGGCGTGGGGACTGGAGCTGCAGTCCCGGCGTGGGGACTGGAGCTGCAGTCCCGGCTTGGGGACTGGAGCTGCAGTCCCGGCTTGGGGACTGGAGCTGCAGTCCCGGCATGGGGACTGGAGCTGCAGTCCCGGCTTGGGGACTGGAGCTGCAGTCCCGGCGTGGGGACTGGAGCTGCAGTCCCGGCGTGGGGACTGGAGCTGCAGTCCCGGCTTGGGGACTGGAGCTGCAGTCCCGGCGTGGGGACTGGAGCTGCAGTCCCGGCGTGGGGACTGGAGCTGCAGTCCCGGCGTGGGGACTGGAGCTGCAGTCCCGGCTTGGGGACTGGAGCTGCAGTCCCGGCTTGGGGACTGGAGCTGCAGTCCCGGCTTGGGGACTGGAGCTGCAGTCCCGGCGTGGGGACTGGAGCTGCAGTCCCGGCGTGGGGACTGGAGCTGCAGTCCCGGCGTGGGGACTGGAGCTGCAGTCCCGGCTTGGGGACTGGAGCTGCAGTCCCGGCGTGGGGACTGGAGCTGCAGTCCCAGCTTGGGGACTGGAGCTGCAGTCCCAGCGTGGGGACTGGAGCTTTAGACCCGGCTTGGGGAGTGGAGCTGCAGTCGCGGCTTGGGGACTGGAGCTGCAGTCCGGGCGTGGGGACTGGAGCTGCAGACCCGGCTTGGGGACTGGAGCTGCAATCCCGGCTTGGGGACTGGAGCTGCAGTCCTGGCGTGGGGACAGGACTGAGAGAGCACAGGGCTGTGCTTTGTGATGAAACAACCTTTAACGAGTCCATCCGCGACGGCACAATCAAGCACCAGCGCCAAGGAGGCAGCTGGTTGTAACTCACGTCCAGGACATAAGGAATGGGATGCACTCATTCTCACCGCACACAACTGTTTCTCACCACACAATATTCCTTCTCACCACACGTGACTCCTTCTCACCGCACACAACTCCTCCTCACCGCCGCCTCGCTGTCACTCACCTGCAGGGACGCGCATGCAGCTAGTGGCGCCAGGGAAGCCTCTCCCAGCTGGTTGTAGCTCACGTCTAGCACCTGGGGTGGGTGTGGTGCACGCCCCGTGCTGACTCCTTCTCACCGCACTCAAATCCTCCTCACCGTTGTCTGTCACTCACCTGCAGGGACGCGCATGCAGCTAGTGGCGCCAGGGAAGCCTCTCCCAGCTGGTTGTAGCTCACGTCTAGCACCTGGGGTGGTGGAGGAGGGGGGGAGATTGGCGAGAAGGGAGAGGTGGAAGAGTGAGGTCAGCTGGCTGTAGATCAGGTCTAGCACCTGGGGAGGTGGAGGGGGAAGGGGGCGGTGGGGGGATGGCGGGCCGCGGGGGGGGAGATTGGAGAGAATGGAGAGGTGGAACAGAAAGGTCAGCTGGCTGCAGCTCACGTCTAGGGCCCGGTGGGGGAGATGGGGTTGAAGGGGAGGGTTTGAAGCGGGGATGGGGAGAGAGGAGGGAGAGCACGCACGGGGCTGAGTTGTGGCTCATGGTTAGCACCTTTTTTTACTTTTTTTACCAGCTTTGACCTTGTTGACTCACCTTGACCGGCGTTGACTCACCTTGACCGGCGTTGACTCACCTTGACCGGCGTTGACTCACCTTGACCAGCGTTGTCTCTCCTTGACCTTTTTTAGTCGCTCGATGCCGTCCATTGTTGTGAGCTTCCTTTGAACTCACTGGCCTTGACTCGCTTTGAGCTTGCTTTGACCAGCGTTGACTCACCTTGACCAGCGTTGACTCACCTTGACCTTCTTGAGACGCTCGATGCCGTCCATTGCTGTCAGCTTGTTGCCCCTCAGATACACAAACTGTGACATGGATGCACGCATGCATGCACACATGGATGAAAGCACACATGCACATATGTATGCACACAGTCGCACACACACACACACACACACACACACGCACACACACACGCACGCACACACACGCACACAGACATGCACACGCAGACGTTAGCAAACGGGAGTACGAATAAGGGCACACAAGCAGAATCAGAAGCGCAGGGGCATCAACAGGCATGCGACCCCATGAGGCACGCACACCCACACAGTCTATAGCGCCTGCCTCAGCCGCGGTGAGCCCACTGCCCCACACCTGAGCAGCACCTGAGCAGCACCTGAGCAGCACCTGCCACAAGCCCACCTGAGCAGCAGGCGGCAGGTGCAGCGTATCTGCCTTGAGGCTTCTGATGCGCTGCGACCGCAGGTCCACCCGCTGGTGATTTGAGGGGAGGTGGGATCGGGGGGGGTTACATGGGTGACGGGGAAGGGGGAATGCGGATGACGTGTGTGTGCAGGTGCAGCGTGTGGGAATTGAGTCTTGTGATGCGCTGCGACCGCAGGTCCACGCGCTGGTAGGGGGGAGTTGAGGGATGGGGATGAGGGGGGAGGGGGAAGGAGAAGAGGAGGGAGGAGGAGAAGAGGACTGAGGGGGGGCGCTTGTGATGCGCTGCGAGCACACGCTGAAGAAGGGGACTGAGGGATGGGGATGAGAGGGGAGGGGGGAGGAGAGGAGAAGGACGACGGCACATGTGTGTGCAGGTGCAGCGTGTGGGCCTTGAGGCTTCTGATGCGCTGCGAGCGCAGGTCAATGTGCTGGAAAGGGGAGATGGGATGGGGGGGGTTACATGGGTGATGGGGAAGGGGGAATGTGTGCAGGTGCAGCATGTTGGCCTTGCGGCTTCTAATGCGCTGCGAACACAGGTCAATGTGCCGGAGAGGGGAGGCAGAGGGGGTTGGGGAAAAGAGGAGGCAGGATGTCATCTCTGCCACCCACCGTGTCATCTCTGCCACCCACCGTGTCATCTCTGCCACCCACCGTGTCATCTCTGCCACCCACCGTGTCATCTGTGCCGCGCACATCAGGACCCGGCATCACCCGCAGCTCTCTAGGCGACACTCTTGCCCTGCCACCCAAGCTCCCTCCCCCTCCTCCTCCTCCTCGTCCTGGTGATGATACTGGCATTGATGCTCCCGTTGCTGCTGGTGATGATGCTCCTCTTGACCCTGCCAGTGATGATAACCGTGATGGTGATGGTAATGGTGACGGTGATAGCAATGATGGTACTGGAGACGCTGGTTGTTGTGATGGCTTGCTTGGTGATGCTGATGCTGATGCTGCTGCAGCGGATGACACTACAGCTGCTGGTGTGACAGCAGGTGCTGTCACAAGGCTGTGCATGCTGGGAATCGCGTTAGGCATCGCAGCACTGGCTTCTGCTGCTTGCGTTGACCTCTCTGCTGTCTTTAGCGAGTCTGTCTTGCCGCCTTCCTCCTCCTCCTCCTTCTCCCATCCCTCCGCTACTTGGTCTTGATCTCTTGTCCCCGCCTGCTTGTCACCCCTAATCTCCTGCAGAGTCATCCCTTCATCCTCTTCTCTTTCCTCCACCACGCTTTCGTCCACCTCTCTTCCCTCCTCTGTTCTCTCCTCCCTTTCCTCCTCTCTTCCCTCATCTCTCCCCACCTCCAACTCCACACTTCCTACCCTATCTACAGCACTCACAGTGTCACCCATTCGATCACTGCCGGCAACAGCAGCATTGGATTCACCACCACCAGCAGCAGCAGCAGCAGCAGCAGCAGAAGTGAAGGTGCTGGTGGTGTTGACCACATCAGGGGAGGGATCAGATGATGAGGATGCACTGTTGACAGCAGGGGAAACGCCCTGCATACCCTCATAAATGCCAGGAGGAACCCCAGCAGCAGTCAGTGGGGGATCACAAGGCGCGGGCGTTGGGGCAACGACAGGGCTGCTGGAGACAGAGGGGTATGCAGAGGCAGGTGCAGAACCCAAGGCAGAGGCAGAGGCAAATTGAGAGTGAGACGACTTTTGAGGCGCCTCAAAAGCAGTCAGTGGGGGATCGCAAGGGGCAGGCGTTGGGGCAACGACTGGGCTGCTGGAAACAGAGGGGTGTGCAGAGACAGGCGCGGAACCCGAGGTAGAGGCAGAAGCAGAGTGAGACGCAGATTGAGATGCAGAGGTACTGTTGCTCCCTGTACCCATGCTCCTACACGTGCCAGCCCCAGCAACAGCAGCTGCAGTGGCAGCGGCAGCAGCAGGTGTTGCGCGAGTGGCAGAGGCAGCAACAGGGGCAGCAGTAGGGGCGGTGAAAGTGGGGGAGGAGGTGAGGGAGGCGAGGTGGGAGCGGAGGTTGGCGGCTCGCCTGGAAAGAGAGGCGGCAGTGGGAGCAGCGACAGAGCTTGACGGGGGGGAATATGACGAGGCAGCCGCGTTGAAGCTCACACTGCTGCCAAAGGCTATCCGCCTGCGGGCACTCGCATTTGCACTCGCATTTCCTCCTGCCACTGACGCTGATGCTGCAAGTGATGGGGATGCGAATGCCGCTGTTGAGCCTACACGACTAGGGCTTATTCGTCCCCCACCCCCGCCCCCACTGCCTGCTCTCTCACCTACTCGTCCCCCGCCAACACCTCCTGCTCTCTCTTCCGCCTTCCCCCCTGCTGCGCCATTTCGTCTCAAAGGACTTCCCCCGGCCCTCCCTGCTGCGCCACTCACACCCGCCCTATCCGCCCCCTCGAATCTCCCCCCTGCCTTCCCCCCTGCTGTTCCTGGCGCTGCATCCCTCCTTCCACTCGGACTCCCCACGCGCCCACTCCCCTTCCCTGCAACCACTGCTCTCTCCGCACTTTGCCCCACAGTTCCCCGCACTCCCCCCAAAGCTCCCCCCTGCACTCTCCCTTGCGCTCCCCCTTGCACTCCCCCTTGCGCCCCCCCCCAGCGCCCCTGCCCTTCCCCTGATGCCCAACCACCCGGGATCACTCCACCTCCCAGTCACAGCAATGCTATGCCGGTCCAGGGATAAAGAACCCAAACCCCCCATCCCCCCGCCCCCTGCTTTCCTGCCCGCTAGCTCTGGGCTGTAACTGCTGGTCAGCGGGCCAATCCCGCTCGCCCAATCCGGTCGTTTAATGCTGCCCAAGCTGCCCGGACTGCCTCTCCTGGCAGGGCTGTCGGACTTGCCTCTGCTGCCCGGACTGCCCGTGTTTGCCCTCCTTCGCTCCTCTGAAGGCGACCGGCCAACCACCCCCTGCGCCCCTCTTGTTCCGCCTCCTCCGCTTCCCCCTCCCCCTGGTGCTATCCCCCTGGTGCCAGGGCCTGAGCGTGTGGGGGAGGCGAAGGCAGCGGAAGGGCGAGGGCTCTGCTGGCGGACTGACATCCGCCCCGATCCCCCTTCTACCCTTCCCCCTGCCCCTCCCCCTCCTCCCGCTCCCCCCGCCTCGCCCGTCTGTATCCGCGCCCCCACTCCACTTCCCACCTGCGCCTTTCCAATCACTGCTCTCCCCTTGTCACTTGGTTTACCGCCACCAATACCGCTCCCGCTACCCCTATCGCTCACACTCGCTACAAAGCTCCCACTCCCACCATTACTCCCCATGCCACTCCTCTTTATGTCCTTCAAACCGACCCTAATCTCCCCCGACCTATTCACTGCGCTGCTCTCCTCACTACCACTCTTTCCTTGCCCTCGTCTCCCCTCGTCTGCATCCGTTGCACCATTGGCCTCCCTCACACCTTCCGCAGGTTCCTTCCCCACCCACTCGCCGCTCCCGTTTGCCAATCCCCCGGCGGACGTTTCTTCTGGCGCTAAATCGGGCGCGAGTGAACTCACTGACGGCCCTGTTGACTCAGCACTCTGCTCCTCCCTATGCGGCGCCAATTCAGGCGCCACTGCCGCTACATGCGTTCCATCTGCTGTGTCCTCCCTTCTGCCACCCACGTCGCCAGCCCCGCTCTGCTCCGCGCAGACTTCCAACTGCGCAGCTACCCTCACGCTCTGCTCCCCGGCGTCGCGCAACCCGTTGGCTCGCGCAAAATTGAGCTGGAACTGCCTCCCCTCGTCCGCGGCGCTTAGACTGACAGCTCCGCCGTCTATGCCGCCTGCGGATCGCAAAGCCTCCTCGTTTCCAGGTCGATCAGAACTTTCACTATTCCCGTTATAGTCTAGCGAGCCGTTAAGGTTTGACGCGCCGTTGGCCTGCGGCGTGCGATTTGTCCCCGCGCCGTTGCTCGCATCGCTACTTTGGCCGTCTCTTCCGGCGACACCACTAGTGAAACCGCCGCTAACGGCGGTGCTCTCGAGGTTGCTCGTAGTAAGGTCGTCGTCTCGAATGGCGGTACCGTTAAGGTCAGTGAGAAGATCGCCGCCTCGAATGGCGGCGGTACTCCCGAGGTCAGTGAGAAGATCGTCGTCTGAGAGCTGACCCGCATCGTCGAACGCCGGGCCGAGACTCCATCGCTTTCCCTCGTTGTCTGAATCTAACTCCCAGTCGGCTTCCATGTTAAGGTTATACGTACTTCACCATGCTATGTTACAACTGAAAATGGGCCTGGCATTTTCAAGGGATGGTGTTGAGCAATTTTCAAGGAGGTTTATAAACTCGAGGGAGTTCGTGCAATTTTCAAGGGCCCCGGTCAGCCCCGCAGCACACCCTTGGCTCTGTCGGTTTTCCGTACGATGTGCGGGCAGATTTATGAATGAGAGCGCCAATGAATTGACGAAACCTGTCACGAACTTACCATCTCAGGTGGCAAAAACTGACCGTAAGCACATAACCGAAAAAATGCTCTGGGGAGGTTGCAGAATGGCAATATTTCGGTTGAAACTGGCTCATTGTTGGGAGTAGAACAATGGGTACCAATATGCTGCATAGCCTTGCGTAGTAGCAAAGCCTTTATCACTTGTGTCGCATGGAGTTATCGTGCACATGTAAAATGTTATGTCGGGTACGCGGACCTGATACAAGTTTGACTGCAACTCTCGCATCTCGCCGTTCGTATTGCCACGCGGGAAGCATCTGTTGCCAATGACTGAACCCGGGGCGCTGAAGAGAGTGCTCAGAGCCGTGCAGCCAGCTGAGCATTCCCAAGGCGCCTAAATTCGCGCGGGAAGTTCCTTGGTGCGAGCATTGTACGCTTGACCAGCGCTCCGCACTGTGGTCCCAAGCTCAGCCCAGACCAGCACGCGCCACGCTGGGACTGGTGGTTCGGGGTTTGGCGCAGTCGGGCACGCAAAACCTGCTTCGGAGGAACCGCGTGAAGCTGGCTGTCTCGGTTTTGGACCTCGTGTGGTTCCTCGAACCTCGATTTTCCGAACCTCCGTGTCGTTCTAATTAACCAATCAAGTGGGTATGGTCTCCGACTGCGATCGGAAAGAACATTGCTCTTCTCGAGAACATCAGGCGTGTGTGGTGGCGGTGAGAGCGCGCTCAGGAGACTGGCAGGGAATCATCGAGCGTGCTCAATGGTTCTCTATGGTTCTGTACGTTCAAAAGCATTGTAGTAGAAAATAAAGCGGTTAAGTAGACGCCAGTGATGGCAGGAAATTAAGGGAGATTGTGGTCACTTGTCATTAGGAGCTGAGAGCTTCTGTTGAAGGACGTCTTGTTCCTTGCTTTCGATAGTGTCATTTGATTCTACGCATGCTGTAGCGTGTTGCTGTTGCTGGCCTCTTTCAGAAGGCAACTAGTTGGCGGTAGTCGCTTTACACGTGAATGTTTTATCCACTAGCTGTGGTTGAAAGAACACTCGATCGATCGCAATCCAGTAACTATTCGAGCCGAACTAAGCGAAGCCACCGCTGCGCGGCTTCCCTTGTGCCAACGTTTCCCCTACTGCAGTGCCATTAGAAATGTCTCAGTGTCTCCTACATTTATTGTGAACTTAGAAGCTACTCTAGTCTAATCCTCTAGTTATTTGTCGCGATTTGAATCAAGGACGCAATGAAGCCGGAAAGATCGCTGTGTTGCGATTGGCTGTCGTGCTCACTGGGGTGGGTATGGAACCACCCGCGAATGAAGAATTTCCGCAAGGTCGCCTACAACTTCAAGATGACGCTCGTCTGCGGCTTCATCACCTTCCTCGTCTTCCGCGGCACCTTCGGCGCCGGCAAGTTCGGCACGCCGTTTCAGGATGCCGAGATTCTCAACCGCGAGCTCCGGTCCTTCCAAGAGAAGGGCCTCCTCAAGGTTCGTGTCGGTCGTATTGCGAAGCGACTGCTTGTTCAAGATCCTGTGAAGCGCGTTCTGAAAATACACGATCGCGGGATAGAGTATTGATGTCGACCGGAGAAGCTTTGAGACTCGTCTTAGGAATCGATGTCGCGTGGTGCGTGTTTCATTCTCTTAAAGAGGGGCGTGTGGAGGCGCGGCGTGGATGAATGGCTACGATAGTGTGCTGAACTCTCATGGATCGACGGTTGCGACTAGGAAATTTCCCCTCATGATTCCACGGCTTAGATTTTTGCGTTTAACTTTCGTGGACTGACAGAAGATTCGGCCCGTTCCCTTCTTCGTCTTGCGCATTCATCCTAGTGAAACGAATCGCACCGCTGATTGACTCGGGTTTCGTCAGATCGCTATCGCTGGTCGTTACGGATGCAATCACGGACACCCATCCTGCGATTTGAAGTGTAGGACAACGGCGATAGCTAAGCGCATGTCTATCCTGAGATTATTGATTTGGGATCTATTACCCATGGGTTCTTGTAGTTGTAAGCGTAACAGTAGCAGCCTCTCGTAAAGCCTTTTGTTTTTCTTCCGTAACAGAAGCAGCCTCTCCCATTCTTACGAGCCAGTTCTCTCGCCCCTTTCCGCTCATAGTGCCCTGTAGCAACAGCCCCTGCATAGCCCACAGTATACTTGGACCTCATGTTTTTCACGAACGGATTCGTTCTTCTGGGCAGATTTTGCAGTTTTACCGCCTGTCAAATCGCCATGCACTCTTTCTAGCTCGATCGATAACCGAACCGTTGGGCGGGTTGAAGTGATCGGACTCTATTCGTGCTTTCCGGCATTGCCAGTCATGGGAATAGATGCGCGCATCGACGACTACTCGTCCTTTCTCCCCGCGATCCACCCGTCACTTGCTTGCGATGCCTCCCGTCCTCTGGTCCCTTTTTGCCATTTCCGCCGTCTCTCCTTGTCCACCTCATTCCCTCACGTCTAATTTTCTCCCGTTCCCGCGTTGGATTCTCTGCGCTGCTGCAGCACCGAAATCTCCGAGTCCTCTCAAATGTCCATTTTCTTGTCCCCCGCCCCCCGCTGCCACGTGGCAGTCGCGGGAGAGCCAGCTGCTCTTCCTGCAGGACAAGATGACGGACCGCAATTCGCCGTACCGCGCCGGGCCCAACATCACAGGTATGGCCGTCACTCCCGGCTGGCTACTGCTGTAACTTGTAGAAAGAGTATATGTGCCGAACTTCCCTTGCCTAAATGCTCTAACCCCAATCTTCCTTTCCCGTTCGATACCCCGCCTCTCTCCTAACCAACTCGCGTCTTGTTTCCGCGTTCTCCCCTCCCCTCACCCTTCCCCCTCCCCCCCATCCCTCTCCCCCCGCCCCTTTTCCCGCCTCCGCGACGCTTCCTCACCCGTTTCCACCCCCCACTCTTTCCTGACCGCCTCCTTCTCTTTGGCCTCCCCGCTCGCTCCGTAGAGATCAGAAGCGCGCCGAGTGCATAACGTTCCCCATTCCGTCTTAAAACCCTCACGATCCGTCCCCCTCCCTCCCTCCTTCCCCCCTCCTCCCCCGTTTCCCCCTTCCCCCGTCCCATTCCTCCATTTCTGCCCGCGCTTCTCCCCTCCCCCCCCCCTCCTCCCCGCTCCCCCTTCACAGACTGGGACGAGCAGCGCGCGGAGCACATAGCCTTGAATCCCGGGTGCAACTCCACCAGTGACGGGCGGCCACGTGTCATGATCGTGTCGACTTCCCAGCCGAAGCCGTGCGAGCACAGCGTGGGCGACCACTTCCAGCTCTTGTTCCTTAAATCGAAGCTGGACTATGCGCGTACGCACGGCATGGTGGTATACCACCACATGGTCCGGCTGGACAAGGAGATGAACGGCATGTGGAGAAGCTGCCGCTGCTGCGCCGGCTCATGCTCGCGCACCCCGATATAGAGTGGTTCTGGTGGATCGACTCGGACTCCATTATAACGGGTACGGTGGGTCGTGGGCGGCAAGGGAACGGGTTGGGGGGAGGGGGAGGGAGTGGGGAAGCGGGTAGAGGGAGTTTCCGAAAGTGAGAGGGAAGGGGATGGAGGGAGTTTCCGGGAAACAGGCGCTTGCGGGTTACCAGGAAAGGGTGACACGGCGATGCAGACGTGCGCGCAAAACAGACTTCAAGTTTGAGGTGCCATGCGCATGCGCAAGGACATGAGCAAAGCATCGCTTCCGCTGACCTCATTCTCCCGCCAATCCCTCCGTTGCCTCTCCTTCTCCCTTTCCCCCACTCTCTCCTCCTCCACCCCCCACCCCCTCCCCCTCCCCCTCCCCCTCCCTCTCGCCCTCGCCCTCGCCCTCGCCTCCCCCTTCCCCCTCCCCCCTGTGCGCGCAGACATGAAGTTCGAGCCTGCCATGGCGCAAGTACAAGGATGTGAGCATGGTGGGTGCCGGGGTGGGACGACCTCGTGTACAAGCACCGCGACTGTGAGTGTCGTTTAAAGGAAGAGGTTGAGAGCACTGCGGCTGGGCGTCGCTTAGGGGCAGAGGATAGAGCGCCGCGAGTGGCGAGGTGGCGCAAGTACAAGGGCGTGAGCATGTGGTGCCGGGGTGGGACAACCTCGTGTATAATGCACCGCGACTGGTGAGCGAGGAAGTGGCGGAGAGAGCGGAGGATGGGTGCGCGCAAACATTGGTGCGCGGCAGAGTAGCAGAGTGAGGAGAGAGAGCGGGGGAGTTCGTTTGCGGTTTCCACTAGGCGGCTTTATCGTTCGCTCATATGTAACCTCTCACCTCCTCGCATTGCCCCTGCCTGTGCCCCCCTCCACCTTCCCCCGTCCCCCCGTACCACAGGGTGGGCCTCAGCACCCGGAAGCTTCCTCCTGCGCAACAACCAGGTGAGCGCCCCCCCTTTTCTGCCCCTCGCCCTGCATATCTCTCTCACCTTGCCCTGCCCCTCCCCCTCCGTTTCCCCTGCTACTCCCGTTTCTGCGGCCTGTTATGTGGCCTGTTACTCACTGGAAAGAGCAGCTCGCGATGTAGCTCACGATGCAGCTCACGATGCAGCTCGCGATGCAGCTCGCGATGCAGCTCGCGATGCAGCTCGCGATGCAGCTCACGATGCAGCTCGCGATGCAGCTCACGATGTCTTTGTGTCTCACGTCATCGCGAGCTGCTCTTTGCTTATATCGCGCTCATCTTATGCTCTCATCTACTTCTCTTTCGCCCTCTCCCCCTACTCTCTCCCCTCCCTGTGGCAGTGGTCTCTTGATCTGCTCGCCAAGTGGCCGCCATGGGCGCAATTCCCCTGCATCACCCCCACCATCTCCCCCTCCCCGCCCTCCCCCTTTCCCCCGTTCTCCTCCCCTTCCACCCTTTCCCCCCCTGCAGTGGTCGCTGGATCTGCTCGCCAAGTGGGCCGCCATGGGCGCGAGGGGCAGAGCCAGGGAGGAGGCGGGCAGAGTGCTGACGGCGCAGCTCAAGGTGAGCTTCTAAGGCGGGTGGCACAGTGCACGTATGTGATGCTCGGGGTGCGTTGAGGCGAGAGTTGAGGGCGCAGTGTTCTACTCATCTCTCTCATCTCTGTCATCTCTCTCTCATCTCTCTCACATCTTTCTTTTTCATCGCTATCTTCTCTCCCAATGTCGGCCTGAGTTTGAGGCAGATGATCAGTCAGCACTGGTGTGGCTGCTGGTGTGCCAACACAGTGTTCTCCTCCCTTACCCATGCCCTCTCCCTCTCTTATCTCCCCCTTCACCTCTCCCAGGCCGGCCTGAATTTGAGGCAGACGATCAGTCGGCGCTGGTGTTGTTGCTGCTGTGCCAGCAACAGTTTCTTCTCTTACCCCATGCCCTCTCTCTCCTCTCTCTCTCATCTCTCTCATCTCTCTCTCATCTCTCTCATCTCTCTCTCATCTCTCTCTCATCTCTCTCATCTCTCTCTTCACCTCTCCC